ACAAAAAGAAAGAAAGAAAATAACTTTTGCAATTCCGGATGGACAGTGGCAAACCATGCATAATCTACCTGTTCCCTCTGAATTTTTCAGGGCCCAGCATCCCTTCAGGCCCAACTACTAGTTGGGCTGAAACCTGCTTGACCCAATCACTCGGCCCAAGTGAGATTGATTAGTCCAGGACTCTCCAGGTCCCCAAGTGTTTCTAGGCTTCTAGTAGTAGCTATAGATTCCAGTACTAAACTAACCCCACTAACGCACTGTGTGATGTTGTAATCCAATTTTAGGATGTTCTTGGTCGTCTCATGATATCATCCACTTGTGATGCTAGTTGAGCTCAATGAGATGAGATGAGACAGCATGCAACTTCGTGTAGGTTGCTGTCACTTGTTCATAGTGGAATACCAGCTCGCCCATTACTGCAGGAAAAAAGCTAAGTTTGGCATCGCTGCAGAGCATGGAAAAGGCTTGTGCAGCTGGCAGTTTGGAGGGGAGAGGTCCAAGGGTTTATCACATTTGGTAGGGATCATGGTCACCTAACAAGAATGTGATAATGTGTTGCCAGAATCTACTACTGCTAGTGCTTTTGACTGCTTCTGTGCTTGCTGGGACTAGTACAGCATTCTGAGCAAGTGATGAGCAGTGGTCTCCATGTACTACTTCGACAACTTGTTGCGAATTTCTTAATGTGTAATTATAAAAAAAAGGATATATTATCAACAATTGCAGGTGTGAATAAACTATATTTTGAGTTGGATGTTCACCAAACTGTTACCGAGTCAAAAACCGAGGATAAGTGGGTTTGCAGTCTTTTTTCTTCTGAAAACCGTTGATTCCCGATAAAATCTGGTAAAAGTTTATCAAAAAACTAGACAATTTGTGTTGTCGATCCGGTCAAAAAGCTCTTTTAGGCTGTGTTTGAGGAGAAGTAGATTGGAAACATACGCAAAACGAGATGGACAATTAGTGCGTGATTAATTAAGTATTAACTATTTTAAATTTCAAAAATGGATTAATATAATTTTTAAAGCATATAGAAAATTTTTGTAAAAAATGCACCGTTTAGTAGTTAGGGAAGCGTGCGCGTGGAATACGATGTGCAATCTCACCCAATCACCTAAGAAGGAACGCACCCTTAGTCAATTTGTAAATAAGCATATTTTTTCCTTAACTCCAAAGTACAACTTCTTCCTTCTCCATTAGCATACTCTTCAAACTGTTAAATGATATGTTTAAATACAGATTTTTATATAAAAATTCCTTTAAAAATTAAATAGATCTATTTTAAAAGTTTATAATTACAAAAAAAAATACCCGTGCGTTGCAACGTGTATATTATTTTAATATTATTATCGTTGTACGGTTTAGTTATGGTAAAATTTACTGTGAGAATTCACATGAATAATTTTTTAAAGAAAATCATGGGCTGCAATTAGGAGTTCGTACTTCATCTCAAATTAGTATGCGAGTATTTTTAAAGAGATTTTTTATACGACTACTTTTATATTTTCAAAAGCAAACAAACTTAAAATTCAACTCAAACACCAATATGTATGTCCAAAAGCGGACGAACTTGAAAACCGACTCAAACACGGATGACGTATCAAAATACCGATAAAAACATCTTTAATTTTTATAATAGTGAAGATTAATACTTAATTATTTATGTGCTAACGAAAAACCAAGTTGAAGATTGAAACCATCCCTAAATCATGGTATATAGTACATCAAATAGGGCAAAATTAGAGTTGAAAAATAAACGGTACGGCATGATGCAGAAGACACGGCCCGGGGGTCCAAAACCGTTGACCAACAAAACACGATCCCTTCCCTTCATCAACACTCCCGCGCCATCGATCCGCCTCGAGATTCGCGTCCATCAGGTGGGCCCCACTCTCTGACCCCCTGGGGATCCGTTCCGCGTGCCACCGCGGCGGCAAGTACGAGAGGCGAGCCCCGCACCCGGGGGGTCCCGGGCCCCACCTGTCAGCCTCCCTACGGAAACCCGTCAAGCCCAAAGCCAAAAGCCTCTCTACGGCGACGACTTCTCCCTCTCCCTCCTCTTCCACTCTCCTCCTCCTCCTCGTGAGCTCCGAGGTTGCCGACGACGACGACGACGAGGTCTCACCCATGGCGACCCGCGAGGTGCCCCTCCTCCTCCTCCTCGTCGTCGTCATGGTCCTCGCCGGCGCCGGCGCCGCCCGAGGGTTCTACCTCCCCGGCGTCGCCCCCCGCGACTTCCGCAAGGTTTGGCTGACGCACCTGTTGTTTTCACTTTCTTGATTCTGATTATGGCCACCGGCGACGGCGGCGGCGGCGGCGGCGAGGTGACCGTGGTTAGTGTGGGTGCAGAAGGACCAGCTGGCGGTGAAGGTGAACCAGCTGAGCTCGATCAAGACGCAGCTGCCCTACTCCTACTACTCCCTCCCCTTCTGCCGCCCGGCCACCATCGTCGACAGCGCCGAGAACCTCGGCGAGGTCCTCCGCGGCGACCGCATCGAGAACTCCCTCTACGTGGTCAGTAGTACCCGGTTAGGTTCGCTGAATTGGTGTTCGAATTGACCGCGAATTCTGATGAAATCCCCCGCGTCGCAGTTCGAGATGAGGGAGCCGAGGCTGTGCCAGATCGTCTGCAAAACCGCGCTGACCCATCAGGAGGCGAAGGATTTCAGGGAGAAGATCGACGACGAGTACCGCATAAACATGTGACAATTTCTTGCTTGCACTGATGCTCGATCACCTGTGTCGCTGCAATTATTTATCAAGAACTCTTATGTACTATCTTGAGATCTTTCTACTCACCCGTGTTGCCTGCAGGATTCTTGACAACCTTCCTCTGGTCGTCCCGATCAGGAGTTTGTTGGATGATCACGACGCGCCCACATCTTATCAGCTTGGCGTCCATGTCGGCATCAAGGGCCAGTACGCCGGGGTGAGCTGATCTGGAAAAGAAATTCTGAATAATCTGACTGCTCGATCGGTAGCTAGGCCGATGCATTTGACCTATGTGATATTCAGATCAATTTGTCAGTGGGATTCAATTGGTTAATTCACTGATGCAGAGTAATGAGGAGAAGCACTTCATCTACAACCACTTATCGTTTCTGGTGAAGTACCACAGGGATGAGAACACGGATCTTGCTAGGATCGTTGGGTTTGAGGTCAAACCATTCAGGTTGTTTGTGTGTTCTTCTGGATTTGTAGGAATCAGATGATGCTCACTGACATTTTTTCCAGCTCTCTGATGATCATACTAACATCAGTTTATTATGTACCTCCGACGATTTGCGCAGTACCAAGCATGAATATGATGGCGAATGGAAGGAGAATGAGACCCGGCTCAAGACCTGCGATCCGCATTCGCGACGCCTCGTCGTCGACTCCGATTCGCCTCAAGAAGTAGAGGCCGGCAAAGAGATCATCTTCACCTATGATGTTAACTTTGAGGTAATGTGTCAAATGCCAAATCATTTCAGCCAATTCAGATGCATACGGTGTGGTTAGCTTGGCATTTGCTGCATTGTTTGTGTCCATGGTGGATGAATGATATGCAGGAGAGCGATATCAAATGGGCGTCGCGGTGGGACAGCTACCTGCTGATGACGGATGATCAGATCCACTGGTTCTCCATCGTGAACTCGCTGATGATCGTGCTGTTCTTGTCCGGGATGCTGGCCATGATCATGCTGAGGACGCTGTACCGGGACATCTCCAAGTACAACCAGCTGGAGACGCAGGAGGAGGCGCAGGAGGAGACCGGGTGGAAGCTGGTGCACGGCGACGTGTTCCGGCCGCCGGCGCGCGCCGGCACGCTGTGCGTGTTCGTCGGCACCGGGGTGCAGTTCCTCGGGATGCTGCTGGTGACGCTGCTGTTCGCCATCCTCGGCCTCCTCTCGCCATCGAACAGGGGCGGCCTCATGACGGCGATGCTGCTGGTGTGGGCGTTCATGGGCGTGCTCGCCGGCTACGCGGCGGCGCGGCTGTACAGGGGGTTCAGGGGGTCGGAGTGGAAGGCGGTGGCGATGAGGACGGCGCTGGCGTTCCCCGGCGCCGCGTTCGCCGTGTTCTTCGTCCTGAACGCGCTCATCTGGGGCGAGAGGTCATCCGGCGCCGTGCCGTTCACCACCATGACCGCGCTGGTGCTGCTCTGGTTCGGCATCTCCGTGCCGCTGGTGTTCGTCGGGAGCTACCTCGGGTTCAAGCGGCCGGCGGCGACGGAGGACTACCCCGTGCGGACGAACAAGATCCCGCGGCCGATACCCGAGCAGCCGTGGTACATGAACCCGGCGATGTCGGTGCTCATCGGCGGGATCCTGCCCTTCGGCGCGGTGTTCATCGAGCTCTTCTTCATCCTCACCTCCATCTGGCTCCACCAATTCTACTACATCTTTGGCTTCCTCTTCCTCGTCTTCGCCATCCTCGTCGTCACCTGCGCCGAGATCGCCGTCGTGCTCTGCTACTTCCAGCTCTGCAGCGAGGACTACGAGTGGTGGTGGAGGTCGTACCTCACCGCCGGCTCGTCGGCGCTCTACCTCTTCCTCTACGCCGCCTTCTACTTCTTCACCAAGCTCGACATCACCAAGGTCGTCTCCGGCGTGCTCTACTTCGGCTACATGCTCATCGCCTCCGCCGCCTTCTTCGTCCTCACCGGCACAATCGGCTTCTACGCCTGCTTCTGGTTCACCAGGCTCATCTACTCCTCCGTCAAGATCGACTAGAGCTTAATTACACTTGCACTTGCATGAATGCAGTGTCATTAACGTGCTTGCTCGAGATACTACTAGCATGTATAAGAGTTAATTTGTTAATCAGGTCATGATAAATTGGTAATTAGGCTGCTCTCTTATCCCCGGATGCTTCAGGGGATCTACAGTTTAGTCAAGTTGTACTAGTAGCTTTTGATGTGTAATCCTATATAGTTACATTAAACAAAGTTTTCTGATACAAGTGAAGATTTAACCACAGGCATTTTTCAGTTGAAATCGAAATGACACTGTTACAAGGGATGACAGGAAAGAGAGGACTTCTGTTCATGTTCTTTGACAGTTCATGGATAAAACGGATACATAAACCTAAGCACAAAGATAGTGGTTTATACATGGATGCCGACCGCTAGGCAAAGGGAGAGGAGATTATTATTCAAGCGATTACTAGATAAGCTAGGTGATATAAGCGATCTCCTTCTAGTTAAGGACGGCGAACCGGTTGGTCGCCTTGCCTTCCTTGGCCCTGCTTCCCCTTGAACATGAAGTAGGCGACGGCGCCGACGAGGAGGCCGCCGGCGGCGAGCGTGGCCGGGCTGTAGCGCCGCAGCGGGCTCGTCGACGACGACGATGCCGCCGACGCGCGCTTCAGCGGGTCCTCGGCCATGGATGCCCAAGCCCTCATCTTCTCCGGCCACATGATCGCCGGCGACCCTGGCCTCCGGTGTCTATTGCTCCTAAGCAGCTAACCTGCTTGCTGCTGCTGGTTGGTGTGTGTGTGGTTGTGTTCTAGAGAGGCTGCAGCCGGCTGGATTTATTGACGTGGCTACGTTAAGCGGCAGAATGGCAAGCGTGGGGGCGACACGTGGACACCGGTCACCGCCACGTGGCAGGGGCCAGCGTCAGGTCAGTCCTCCAGCTACTTCTCGGCGTTATCAGGAAAGAAATTTATCTTGTAGCAGTAATAAAAAACTACTAGTGGTACTACAGTAGTAATAGACTGGACCCAGATTTTACAGAGGAAATAGTAAAGCAGTAAATAATTTCTTCCATGATAAATGAGTAAATCTTATTTTTCCTATAATATCACCCCTTTTTAGTAGAGGCCTCGTGGTATGAAAACTTTTGTTTTTCATTCAATTTCTTTGGTAGGTATGCTGTAGAATTCTAAAAGAATGGTAATTTACATCGGGCAGAAATTCAGGCTTCTGATCAAGTACCTCAACAGCGTAGACGACAATTGAGTTTGATTCATTGGTCCTATGGATGCTATGATCATCTACAGGGGCATCAGCCTTTTGTACTTGAAGAACCATAGGAATCCGCAGAAGATGAAAGCGCCGATCACCCCAGTGATGATGAGCACCCACTGGAATGCATTCTGTATGCTGAAAACTGAGGTCTCGAAGTTCATCCCAAATATCCCAGCAACCACTCCAAAAATGGCGACAACAAATGTTGCAGTTGTGAGTAAAAGTTCGAATTGGATCAGTTGGTTCCGAACATTGTCCTGAAAGCACAACAAAGCCATGGAAAATAAGTTGGTATAGGCCCATTGTATGCAGGATGAAGAGGTGATGGCAGTATGGATGAGGGTAAGAGAGATGCTGATTTACCAACTGAATGTTGATAAAATCTTCAGTGTCATCAATGTACTCCTTCAGCTGAAAGAAAATGAAGGTCAGACATCCTGTAACTGCTAGTAATGAAAAACAAGATTAATTGGGATTTTGGGGAGAGGTGGTTCATTACCGATGTTAGCTTGTTGAGAGTGCTGTCAATCACAACGAAATATGCTTCCAGTAACATTTCCAGCTCTTGAATATGTTCTGTTGCTGTGTTATCTGAGCTCTTCACACTGTCATGCCTACTCCTACACAAGCTGAAAGCTTTCTCCAACTTCCGTGATTCTGTGGGTGACGAGACAGGAGATACAGGAGCTGAAAACGATGTCCCATCACCTACTGAATTGTAGCCTAACATAGACTGATCGCCATAGAAGGATGCCTCCGTTCTCAACTTCTTCTCACTGAGATACATCTCGGCCATATCTCCGTCGTCATCCATTAGCTGCTCTATTTCATCCCTGACCTATTGAAAGACATAATGCCGATTAGACAGTGCTTCAAATGATGATCTGAAAGTAGAAAGTAGCATATAAATCGTAATGCAATATGATACCTTCTGGACTCTTCTCGTCAGAGCAACTAGCCTACTTTTTAATCGCCGTACACGTTCCAAATTCAGTGTACTGATTTTGGATGTCAGCTCATCTAACAAGGGATATGCTTCAATTTCCAATTCAGCTGCCTGAACAACGGGAGAAAAAGATTTTACTCATATGCTCCAAGTGCAACTCTGCTCTAATAGAAACCAGCATATTTTTACATATACAACATTGAGTAAGCAAGTAGGTCTAATTTTCAATTGCCACACATTCAAGTTCAGTGCCAGGAAAATGCATGAGACTGGTAGTAAAACAGCATTTTGGTAGCTGAAGGTCAATACCCTTAAAGCTAAGACATGTAGTATCTCAAGCACAAGCAGCATCAATTGTACTATTTACCACAAAAGATGCTAGGGAACCCAATGAAGGGTCAGGGATGCTGTCCATTTGTCGGTTGTACAAGCAAAAAATTCCTAATAGCTAAAATATGCAAAGCTCTGTTGGTCATGCAAGCGGTTCTTTAAAATTTTCTAACTAATTACTGTTTTCCTTTTTCAATCCAAAGCAGTATTAGCCGATATGGAAACTTCTATCCAATCTGAATACTCATACCAAAATAAAGTGGAGACTTGGAGCACAGAGAGAGACAGTCAGGCTCTGTTTTTAATCAGGAATTATGAAAAATATTTGGCATCGTTAGTAAAGCTTCACTGTTACAGTTACAAAAAAGGGTTACCATAAATTAATTTACAAAAATGTCATATTAAAATTTTCATATAAGACCAATGAGAGCTAAACCAACTCTATTAATCTTGTCAGTTCCCCATTCCAATCCCAGTTTCCAAATAAGCGGCAATGTGAAGTCAGTGTATTCACAAGGTAGTAAACTTCAAGGACAAGAATAGCATTTCTTGCTCTGGTAGAGAAGCAAAATACTAGTAAGTAGCATCACTGTTACACTTTTTTTTTTACCAACTCAAGTCACTGTTTGCATTGGCTTTTGCCTCACTGATGAAAGAGACTTCAACCCCCTATGGGATAACCACAAAATAAGCCCCAATCTGAAGTAGCTACATCAATAACCAAATAGCGTCATTTTGAATAAGGATGCTAAATCTAATCGCAGAGGGTTTATACACGTCAGGAGTTTAAAGGAGAAAGTATCATCAAAACTGCCTGCGGAAGAAAAGAATCTGCATATAAAAAGGTACTCGCTTTGTAAAAAAAAAAAAAAAAAACTATTATCTTGTGTGTTATGCACCAAAACTAGTGATCTCCACCTAAAGCAATATCATTTCTTTTCAACATTTACACCAACCACCCTAGCTATTAGCACCAAAGGACCAACTCTAAATTAGCAGCAGAAGTTCCTTAATGTTCCTACCTGAACAAGGTATCATCTAGAAATTCCTTAAATTTAATTCATCATTTGCTCAGAAGCTTAAATCAGATATAGCATTTTTGGCAAGTTTGAATAATCAGATTGCTGCCAACTATTGATGGTAATGTTAGTTGATCCCAAAAAGGAAATGAACTATTCCATAATCTCTGTTCAATCAGGAGAAACAACACACGTAATCTTTTTGCTTTACTTTTGTGGTCTCTACTAGCCTCAAATAATAAAAAATACTATCAGTTCCAGTTTGATTCTAATCACTGCTCATCAACCATTACTATACACGGAAATTCTAGTCATCCTCACATATCAGATACTCCCTCCGTTTCACAATGTAAGTCGTTCTAGCATTTTCCACATTCATATTGATATTGATATTAATGAATCTAGACATATATATCTATCTAGATTCACTAACATCAATATGAATTTGAGAAATGCTAGAATGACTTACATTGTGAAACGGAGGAAGTAAGAACTAGACCTGCAGTGATCTCCAAAACTCCATACCAATGACACCTAAACAAGATACAGAGGAACCCATCTTTCTTGTCTGCTAGCATAGCAACCAAGAACTCTACCACTGTCTGATTATCATAGTCCATGTAGTAACTGTCTAACTGACAGTCAAGGGAAAAACTTCCAAAGGGAAAAATTCTCGAAGCTGAACCCAAAGGGAAGAACAAAAAACAGAATTCACGCAAACAGCCAAAGGTTGTAAGAATTTGCAAAAATTTGTGGCATGTCCGGACTTAATTTCACTAAAAATCGCAACAGATGGAACAGTTCTGATTCAACTACACAAAGTTTGCGAAGATACAGACATAGAATGGCCAAAAGGTTCAGACAGGAAGAAAAAAAGCGAAGGAAATTGAGAGTGGGTTGATCACCTGTGCGTCGAGGAAGGAGCAGGCGGCCTCGAGGGCGAGCTCGAGCGCGCGGAATTCGAAGGGGAGCTCGTCGCCCTCGGCGCGCTGGAGGAGGCGGCGCTGCAGCTCGGCGGCGTACTGGAGGACGTAGCTGTCGAGGGAGTTGAGGAGGAGCACCTCGTCGGCGGTGATGACGCAGCGGATCTGCTCGAGGTTGACGACGATGGCGCGCTCCCTCCCGAGGATGGTGGAGGGGTAGACGAAGAGCGGGTCGAGGAGGCGGAGGTCGCGGGCGGGGAGCTCGCACCGCCGCATCATGGTGGCCTTGTCCACTTCCAGCGTCTGCACGGACGCCGTGGCGGCCTCGACGCGGATCCAGCTCCGCGTCCCGCCGCCGCGCTTCTTGAGGTTGGGGACGTCGAGGCCGCCGGGGAAGCGGCGGCCGCCCGCGAGGGCCCCCGGGGGAGCCGAGGGGAGAGACGGGGAGGAGACCGACGCGACGTGGGGAGGGTTCCCGCGCTGGTGGTGGAGGAGCGGCTGCTTGGCGGAGTCCCCCGCCGCGGAGGAGGCGGCGGCGGCGGACATGGCCGGCGGCGAGCGAGTGATTGGTTGGTTGGTCCGCGCGGCGGCGGTGGTGGTGGTGGGCTTGGGCTGCGGCGGTGGTGTCCTTTTTGCGGGTGGGCCCCTGGAGAAGGCGAGAATTGGGTCGCGCGAGTAGATTTTGGCCCCGTGCGTGCGTGCGCGCGCGGTAGTTGTGGTGGTGTGGAGTCGAAGGGAATAGGGATTGTGTGTGTCTTTTTTTTCTTTTCTTTTCTTTTCTTTATTTTTTTGACTAACCTTTTCTTTTCTTTATTGATTGAGATTGGATTCTTTTTCTCGAAGTTGGAAGTTTTTTTAAAAAAAGGAAAATTAATGGGCGAAGTTGGATGTTTTGGAACATGGGTAGGAGTAGGTGATAATAATTTGGGACGTGCAGCAGGGGCACGCAACGCATTTGTTGTTTTATATGCAACAAGTATTTAAGAAGATCCCAGAAGAAAAAAGATATAAAGGTAAATTATGCATTATATCAGAATTAACTCTATCCAAATATATTCTAAATATTATCCAACCTCCATTATAGAAAAAAATAACTTTTGCATATAAATCTAGACAAAATTTACCTGTGGGTGTGTTTAGTTCACGCTAAAATTGAAAGTTTGGTTGAAATTGGAACGATGTGATAGAAAAGTTGAAAGTTTGTGTGTGTAGAAAAGTTTTGATGTGATGAAAAAGTTAGAAGTTTGAAGAAATAGTTTGGAACTAAACAAGGCATAGCCTACATTTAAATTCGTGTAAAGAAGTTAGAGGCTAGGGCTTCCAGCTATCTCGGTAAAAAATATTATATATAGGCTTCCATCTTTTTTTTTTCACGTAAGGTTATGATGTCTACCAAATGTGAGCATCCAGCTTTCTATTTAAAAAATAATACTAGCTCCATCCTATAATATAATAAATTTTATCTTTTGAATCTGGATAAGTAAGTTAACATCATAGCTAGAAATATTTATATTTTGGTAAAGAGTAAAGTTCATCACCGGTTCCTAAACTTGTACCGCTGTGTCATCCCGGTCCCTAAACTCGCAAATCGATCGTTCAGGTCCTCAAACTTGTTCGACTGTGTCATCCCGGTCTCTAAACTTGCAGATCACTCGTTTAGGTCCTCCAACTTGTTCAGTTGTGTCACCCCGGTCCCTAAACAGAACGGTCTAAAAACTTTATATCAAAAAATAATTCATAACTTTTTCATGTGAGCTCTAATGAATACAACCTTTATATTAAAATTGTAGCCCTCGACGCGGCTTACAACTTTGTAGTTGAAAAGTTTTTGAACTAAAACTGTTTAGAGTCCCAAAATATTGTTGCATGTTTATAGATTTTGAAATTTTAATTTTAAAATTACATTTTGGGACAAAAAATGACTTAAAATAAAAAAAATCAACTACAAAGTTGTAAATCGCGTCGAGGGCTACAAGTTTGATATAAAGTTTGTCTTCATTAGAGTTCACATGAAAAAGTTATGAATTATTTTTAAATATAAAGTCTTTAGACCGTCCTATTTGACCCAGATGATATTAAAATCCAAGTTTAGGGACCGGGGTGACACAACTGAACAAGTTGGAGGACCTAAACGAGTGATCTGCAAGTTTAGGGACCGGGATGATACAGTCAAACAAGTTTGAGGACCTGAACGGTCGATTTGCGAGTTTAGGGACCGGGATGACACAGCGGTACAAGTTTAGAGACGGTGATGGACTTTACTCTTTGGTAGAAGAGAGTAAGAATTATGTAGATAACTTTTTAGTTGTCTACTGTCTTTTTCTAAAATAAACTAATTTCTAGCTAAATATTTGAAAAAACGTAGTCAATATATTTTAGAACTTACTCCAAGTAGTAGATAACAAAATCTTGGATACCCTTGACAAGAATGATAATAATCTTAGGGCTTGTTCACTTTGCTACCATTTTTAACATTATCTTTTTTTTACAAAGTTACCAAAAAAAGTTGCTATATTTAGTTTGTTGCCAAATTTTAGTACGCGCATATGAAATCTTACCAAATTTGGCAACCTTGTCAATTACCAAAATTTGGCAATGTAAAAACTTAATAAGGTTAAAAATAATAGCAAAGTGAATAAGACCTTATTCATCGTACAGTTACATGCCGCTGAGTTCACAACTTCACATGGGAACTGAGACTGACATGAATCACGCCCGTGAGTGTTCCAAAAAGATTACGCATGCACCTTCATTATTGGCCAGTACTCCAGTAGTCCAGTACACTGCTGATCGATCCGGCATCAACTGATCTACCCACTTGCAGTTCTTCATGTAATGTTGTTGTGTTTAGATTTAAAGTTTGGATCTAAATTTTAGGCTATGTTTAGATCCAAAGTTTGGATCCAAACTTCAGTCATTTTCCATCACATCAACCTTTCATACACACACAACTTTTCAGTCACATCATCTCCAATTTCAACCAAAATCTAAACTTTGCGCTGAACTAAACACAGCCTTGGTTCTTTTCCATCACATCAACCTATCATACACAGAGAACTTTTTAGTCACATCATCTTCAATTTCAACCAAAATCCAAACTTTGCGCTGAACTAAACACAGCCAAAAAAAAGCTAATCACAGTAAAAAACTTCACCTTTTCTTGACACCGAAATTACAGCAAAACCGTAACAACTTGATAATTAAGTCTCACGGTTTGCTGTCAACATCTATATATGATATATAGCTGACAGCAAACTGTGGTCGGCATCCACAGCAAGCTTGCATTGCTAATTGCCACTGACAGTTTTCTAAAAGAATCATCTGGGCAAAGGAAAGATCTACAGAGCAGACAGTGTGGGAGATCCTCCACATGTGCATCCACTTTAATGGGGGTGGGGAATCTGAAATAGGAGTATGATATAGGTTAGGCAAGGCAAAAGATGGTTAGCTGCATCCATGATAATAGGTTAGGTAAGACAAAAAGAATCTGAGGTTAGAATCTGAGGTTTAGAAGGTTAAGGACAAAACAAAATCAGCTGAAGACATTAAAATAGTGGTGCGTATGTGAACATAAAGCTATGTGGAAGATGCATGATCAGGTTACAAAAATGGTATTAGTGCAAGTCAAGAGCCATGATGTAGGTCCTGGAGAAACAATGCAAGCCATTAAGTATTACTCCAGTAAGCACCACTAAAGTTCAAACTAGTACTATCACTTCTGAGAAGATTTGGCCCCGGCCTTTCACCAAGAGATTGGGTTCCGATTTGTCAAAACACAGAAAAAAAAAAGGAAGAAGATGATGAAAGATTTGGCTAGAAAGATCCCTATCAAACTCAGCGAAAAGCATTTATAATTTGATATGGACTTAGGGGGGAATATTACATTATTTTGTGGACACTTGCTGAGGCGTTGAACCATTGACAAATACTTTCTCCGGTTTCATAATTCTTGACGTTTTGGGTAACGACACGATCTCCAAAATATATTTTTAATAATATTTTTTATTATAATATATATAATAAACAAATAAAATTTTACTTTTGTTACAGTAACTTATAAGACAAATCTATATATAATTCTAGTGCCTTCAAACGCCCAGCTAAAAAACATATCCAAACAATAGTTTTTTTATCAAAAAATCATATCCAACAGTTTCTGCATGGACGAGATAATGAGATGGGAGAAGAAAAGTGGAGTAACCATCACTTGGATAGGCCTCATTCCTGATCCATACACGTGTATAGGCCAGAAAATTAAATTAAAATGGAATAAGTTCATTTGAGGTCTGTCAACGAATCCGATTTTCGTCCTTCAACCGAAAAACCAGATAAAATGGGTCCCTCAACTATCAAAACCGGTGCAGATGAGGTCCCTCGGCGGTTTAGATGGCGGTTTTGGCTGACATGGCGCCTACGTGGCTAATTTGACTCGGTCTTCATATGATGTGGCATTGACGTGGTGCTTACGTGGCAATTTATCTTGAAAAATTATAAAACATGGAGGACCCACATGGCAGTTTCACAAAAAAATAATACTAATAAATAGTGGGACCCGCGTGGGCCCTAACTGTCATCCTCTTTCTCCCCTCTTATCTTTGTCATCTTTCTCAGTCTCTCCGGTGGGAGAGGAGCAACGTTCGTGCTCGAGTGCCGGTCGGCGGGAGGAGAGGAGTGGCGGCCGGCGAGAGAGGAGCGGCGCGCGGGCGCCAGCCAGCGGGAGGAGGCCGAGGGGGGAGGAGAGATCGGCGGGATTTGGGAGGAAAAGGAGAGGGAGAAGCGGCCGCCGCCCACGGCCTGCCGCCGCCCACGGCCTGCCGCCGCCGCCGCTCCAGAGTTTTGGCTCCTCCTTTTCCGACAGATCTTGACCCCACATCGTTTCTGTTGTCGTTGTCAGTGTACCACTGGGTGCTCTCAAGCACGGGGCGCCTTGACGGCGTGCTCGCCAGCACGCTCCGCGGCTACGGTTGGTGGCCGTCGATCTGCGACAGCCATGGGAGAGACGGTCGCAGTTGGGAGGCGAGAAGGCGGCGACTAAAGATGGCAATGGGGACCCGATCACCGGTTCCCCGCGGTGAATTCACATATTAGGGAATGGGGATGGTTGATATTTATCCTCCATGGGGAATCATATGGTCTCAAACTTATCACCGTCGGGGATGATGGGGCCGGGGACGGTGCTCCATTCACCATCCCTACCCCCCACGGTGACCCGCATATACTATATCCAGGACCAAATCTAGACTTTCTCAGATGTTTTGGCCCATAATATTCAAGCCCAAGTAACGGGTACGAGTATATAACTCCTAACCCTACCAGTCAAACTCCACACATTCAAAGTTCAGATTCAGATCGAGACATATCGAGACATGCCGTTGCTCCTCCTCCCCTTCAGAGTTCAGATCCAAATCGAGACACGCTGCTGCCGCCGCCTGCCGCGCACCAGCCACCAGGCGCGCCGCCGCTATCCAGACGCGCGCGCAGCTGCCGTCTTGCCGTCCGTCCGGCGCTGCCTCCTTTTTATTTATTTCCCTTTTCTCCTCGCCTCGCCTCTCCTTTTTATTTATTTCCCTTTTCTCCTCGCCTCGCCTCTCCTTTTTTTCTTGTGTGGTGGTGTCGACACGTCGTCGGGAGCCACCGTCGTCACGCCGCCTGGCGCCTGCAGCCGTCGTCGCGCTGCCGGAAGCTGCCGTCGCCGCACCGCCCGACGCCTGCAGCCGTCGTCTTGCCGTCCGTCCGCCGTACGCCGCCAGCGCCCTTCGTCATCGTCGCCATTCGTCAGCACGCCGTCCGCCGCCAGCACGCCATCCGCCGACCATGAATATGTTGTTTAACCGGGGACGAGGAAACCACGGGGATAAATTCACCGCGTGGTGAACGGGGCTGGAGAAAATATATCCCCGTCGTGGTTGACGGGGGCGGGGACGGTGAAATTTTATCACCGCGGGGACAGGGATGCGGAGATGACCCCCGATGGTGAATTCCCCGTTGCCATCTCTAGCGGCGACCATTGGCTTGGGCCCCAGCCTCCTCTCCACCATGCTAGCACATCGACGGGAGCTCGGGAGGCTGCGGTGGCGCGAAATGATGCGGGAGCTCGGCTAGGCAGCACTGCCGCCATGGAGCTCAATGCAGTTTGCGGCGGATAGCTTCCCGCGTGCACGATGGTGTGGGCACCGCATGGCGAAGCACGCGCTCAGAGATGCATTGGGGTTGCCGCGACGGACGGAGCCGCACGCTGCCGAGGCCACGCGCGGCGGCAAGGCTTGATGGAGAAGAAGCAGAAACAGTTTTCTTTTTCCGTTGCAGACTTGCAGCGGCACTTTGAGTTTTGGTCCTTGGTAATGGTAGGAGAAGGAGCAGAAGCAACCTTGTTGGCTTGTTGGCCTTCCTGCCTTTCCTGCACTACTTCTTCCCCGATCAACCCTTGAACCAAGTTATGTCGGACTTCCACAACAACAGCAGCATCAGCGACGGCAGGGACTGTATGTAGGGATGGGTAATCATCTAATCATGCTTTCCGGCGGCGGCGACAACTAATCAACTAATCTGCTCCGTCGCGCTCGCCGGCGACCTTCTCCTCTGCCTCCTCCTCCTCCAGCCACCTCCACTGTCCGCGGCTTGCCGCTCCGCCCGCCCCTCCGCTCGCCCGCGGCCTGCCGCCGCCGCGAGGATGAGGAAGAGCCGAGAGGAAGAAGAGGGAGAGTCGAGAGGGACTTGTGGGGGCCCACGTGGGTCCCACCATCTTTTTTTATTTGACATGTGGACTCCACCATTTTTTATTAATTTATGTGTGAAACTGACATGTGGGTTGCACGAAGTTTATTATTTTTCTGGATCGGATTGCCAGTAAGCGCCACGTCAATATCACATCAGATGAACACCAAGTCAAATAAGCCACGTAGGCGCCACGTTAGCCAAAACCACTATCAAAACTACCGAGGGACCTCATCTGCACTGGTTTTGATAGTTGAGGGAACCGTTGTATCTGGTTTTTCGGTTAAAGGACGAAAATCAGATTCGTTGACAAGTTAAGGGACCTCGGATGAACTTATTCCAATTAAAATCCTGGCCTACATATGACGGGCCAGAATTTCGGTTTAGACAAACATGGCCTCAATGGACTTCAAGTTGGGCCAAGCCCAGACTTAGCCTTCTTAAGGCTTCACTCTACCATGGCTAGATGAGGTTGCAAGTGACCAAGAGATGAAGGACGAGTAACAAAACTGAGCTCAATTCCTACCCCAGAGATTGAATTCACGAGTAATTCGATCAAGAGACCATATAATTATAAGCACAAAATTAGTACCAATTGAGTTATATATATATCAGTCTAATCGTACCCCTTCCCCTACAATAAAACCGGGGGAAAGGCATACATACAAATAAACAGATTTTTTCAGTTCTAGCTGCTACTACTACTGTTCTACATACAGGCATACATACAAATGAACAGATTTTTCAGTGCTATAAACAAGATTAAATTTCTAGTATCAATGATGGAGATCAACGAGATGGTTTGCATCTGTGCTCGTTGATCCCGTCAGTCCAGGCAGCGATTCACGATCCTCAGATTAGACGTCGAACCATTCATCGTCGTCTTCGTCGTTGAGGTGGTTCCTGTACTTGTCCAGGTCCTCGTCGTCGAGGCCGTACTTGAGCCTCCAGTACTCCAGCCTCTCCTCGGCCTCCCTCATGTTGCCCATCACCATCTGCACGCACATCCATCACACCAAATGTGATCAGCAACTGAAAATTGCACTGAATCTAAGAATCTAAAATACTGAATTTAAAGTTTGCAGAGGTTTACAGTTTTTTCTCCTGCTATATTCAATGAAATTGGCACTGTGTTGTGTCGGTTCATTAAAAAAAAGTTTACGGAGATTTTTTTTTTTTGGATGGCCGATAAAATTTTATTAAGAGAAAAAAAAAGAAGGGTTACAAGTGTTTACAAGATCAACGTTAAGCTATCGAGGCGAGGTGAAAAAATCAGAGAAGGGGTTTCAACTGATCATACTCTCGAAAAATGTTTGGAGTGGTGGTAATTTTAATATGCTATTGTTCTTGGCTAGATATTGGTTGGATTCAGAGTTGTTGCGGTGTGTTGCTGATGATACTGACGTTGATAATTCACTGTGATTTTTTTTGAGGTGAGAGTGAAATCGGATTTAGTTTGAAATTACCTGGTAGGCCACGTTGATCCGCTGGAAATGGACGCCGCTATCGCTCTCCTTTGAAACGTCTGGATGATACTGCACGCCAAGAACAGCAAGAGAAAAAAAAATTTCTTCAGCTCTCCAACCTCTCATCAGAAGAATGTTCTGCAATAACTGAAAAATAAAAGAGAAAAAAAAAACCCGAGACGCCGGCGCAGATCCGGCGAGACGCACCGTGAGCGCGAGGCGGCGGAAGGCCCTCTTGACCTCGCCCTTGGTGGCCCCCGGCGGCAGCCGCAGAGTCCGGTAGTGATCCTCCACGGGGCCCCCCGGCCCGGCGGCCGCCACGGAGCTGCACCTCACCTCGACGCTCCTCCGCCGCTGCCGCCGCCCCCTCGCCACCGACGCCGACGCCGTCGGCGACGACGACACGCACAGCATCCCTCCGGCCGCCATCGATCCTCGGTCTCAAATCCGCAAAGAAGACGACGTATGCAGTGATCGCAAAAATCAATATAAACCCCCTCCTCTCCGATCAAGCGGGGCGCGCGGGTGGTGCGTGAGAATTGAGGAGGAGGATTTGATTTTACCTGCGCGATTTATAGCGAGGGGGAGGAAGGTGGAGGCAGTTTTCGGTGAGTTGGTTAGGGCGAGGAGAGGAGAGCGCACGTTTGGATTGCGGCCGTGGCCGTTGCTTCCGTCCCCACGGACCCACGGTGGCGTGGCGTGGCGTGCAGCGACAGGTCGCCCGCGCCTATCCGCTTCTCCCGCCGCGTCCGCCCCCGTTTGGAGTTTTCGAGGGCGGGGCGGAACAGGGAAGCTTCTCTGGACTCCAACTTTTCTTTCTTTCTTTTTTGAAGTTTTTTTTTGTAATTTTAAAAATAGACTATGGTGGAGTTTGAATCTCTTGAAGATGAAGATTAAGTGTTTCACGCAAAACGGGGTGGTAATAATGTGTGATTAATTAAGTTTTAATTATTACAAACTTGAAAAACATATTGATTTGATATTTTAGAACAACTTTCATATAAAAAGTTTTCGCACGAAACGCACCGTTTAGCAATTTGAAAAGTGTGCCACAAGTATCCGAAATTTAATCCAAAAGTTGTTTGAGAAAAGAACAGGGCCTATCTCACGATTGTGGCTAGGGGCTGTTTAGTTCGTGAAAAATTTTGTCCTCGCATGTCACATCGAATATACGGACACACATTTGAAGTATTAAACGTTGTCTAATAACAAAACAAATTACAGGTTCCGCCAGGAAACTGCGAGACGAATTTATTAAGCCTAATTAACCCGTCATTAGCGAATGTTTACTGTAGCACCACATTGTCTTCATGGCGCAATTAGGCTTCAAAGATTCGTCTCGCAATTTCCTGACGAACTATGTAATTTGTTTTTTTTTCTACATTTAATACTCTATGCATGTGTCGAAATATTCGATGTGACAGCGTGAAAAATTTTGTTTGGGAACTAAACAGGCCCTAAAATAAAAGAGCAGGCTAGGACATGGGTCAAGGCTTAGGGCGGAGCTGCCACCCTTGGAGATTTGCATGTTTTGGGAGAGTCGGACAGACCACCTAACTCAATGCTCTTATGCAGGGGTGGGGGATTTTAGTACTTCCTTTATACATGTATTGTTATTTTTCTCCTGCTTTATTAATATAAAAGGTAAAGTTTTTGCTGGTGTTAAAGAAAATAAACTATGTCAAAACTTTTTTCCAATTTCCAATCCTTTTACCCACGCCGATCCAGCTAGCGTTGTAGTGTTGTTTCGTCACGCAATCTAGTCAACATGACAATAAAAAAACCTGCCACGCCTGCTATTGGTGACGTGTTTTGCCACGCTAAATATATTTTAGATATAAGTTTTAAAGATGTATTTATTTTTAAAATTAAAAAGATTTAAAAAGTAATTAAAATTCATTTGGCTCCTCCCCGCGACCCACGGACGAGCGCTTCTGTCACGCTACATGTTAGGAGCCCCAGTTTTCTCACCAACCATTTGTTTGATCTGTGTTTATATCGTTGTTTTTGCGTGGATATTATTTACAGTGTCACTCCCCTCCCTCTACCCAATGTCCAATTGACAATTGGCCAGTTGCCGCTAAATTGGTGAGATTTGTACCGAGTGAAAATGGTACAAACATGTCTACGTGAGCAGCATCCTAGTGTTTAGGAAGAGTCACGCAACCTGTAGGCTGTACTCTGTAGCCACGTACGATGAACCACTCCGGTGCCATAATTTTTTCTCTCCCTACAACGTATAACGCCAAAATTTAAATCTAGAATTGATTTTGAGGGTTTTCATCGTAGTTTTTCTCAACATTAATGTACATACAGCAGCGACGATGGCATGTGGGCCCGGTCCCACCTAGTCAGTCAGTCAGGCAGGGATAATATTGCCGTATTGCTTATCCGTGTCCACTTGCGGGAAAAGGCTGGGACCGGAGATGTCGCTGTCTCCATCGGAGCCGTCCATCCCTGATCGGACGGCAGGGGGCACCCACTGTCCAGAAACGCCGGAAACGTCGCCGTGACGGTCACACCGTCTTGCCCGTCGCGGTTTCCGTGGCTTTTCCACACGGCAACCGGCAGAGTTTAGACCGTTTCCACGCCCATTCTACGGGTAGTAGCCTAGGAGGCAAGGCAAGTAATCAGTGACGTCATGGAATCGCTCATGGTTCTCTCTCAATGTTGATAGTGGCCGGTTTGTACTGTTGCGATGCTGAATTAATTCCCAAGATACTCCAAGAGATTTCTTCGCAATTTACGCGATGCTAGTTTGAAACTAAGCTCTGAATTTTTCACGGTTTGTGCCCGTGCAACGGTGCGAAGTCACCGATGGTGGAAAATTCTTCTTTTTTTTTGCCTCCCAGATTTTTCATCTTCTCAAAATCAGTCAAAAAAAATCACGCGTTGGTAAATGGTAATACCAGTTCAGGCTTGTGCTAACAATAGCAAATTAGCCCGAATTACCGAATGAAACACGCTTGATAACTCAAGTGCCTAGCGAGCTCCACGGAGTACTTATTAATATCGTTCTCTGACGCAGAAATGCGTCATGTGATACATGAGAGAGGTATTCAGAACACATGAGATTACAAACAAACACCAAAAACTTGTTCAAAACCGAACAAATATCATCCATCTTCTTCATCCTGCAAATCTGTAGCAGATTCATCCTTCCTGCGGCCTGAGCTTGGCTGCGTCGATGTAACCCAGCCTCGCCGCGCAGCCGACGCTGCCGTCGAGTATCTCCTCCATGCCGTACTTGTACCTGAACCCCAGCTCACCCAGCTTGTCTGCCGCCGGCTGCACCCTCGCCACCTCCCTCTCCGGCCTGTCGCCGCCAAGATTTCAGAATTCAGATTGCACAAGAAAGGTCCCGTTCTTTTATCCAACAAGAGTTAGATGAATATTAAGATTTTCGTGGCACGTTTTTTAAACTGCTAAATGGTGTGTTACGTTTGAAAACGTTCTATATGAAAGTTGCTCTAAAATATCATATTAATCTATGTTTAAGTTTGTAATAATTAAAACTCAATCAATCATACGTTAATACCACCTCAATTACGTAAAAAAGACTTAATCTTCATCTCCAGAAGAAAAGAACACCACCAAAGCTAGAATCCGAGGTGGAGTATAATCTTTCTTGAATCATTTGTTCTTGATCAGAGAAAGAAAGATCGGCATACTCTTTGAGGACGTCGAGGTGAGGGTACTTGGCGGCGAAGTGTTCGACGATGTCGTGGATGGTCGGGTAGGCGGCGGAGCAGAGGAAGCGGCCGGCGAGCGACGGCTGATCCATGCAGAAGACGAGCGCGTCGCAGACGTCGTCGGCGTGCACCAGCGGCACCGACCCGACCAGCCTCTGCAGCAGCCTCAGGAACGCGAAGGACGGCTCGTTCCGGGACACCGGCGACACGGCGTTCTCCAGCGTCTCCGGGGCGCGGCCGAGGACCGTGTCGCCGGCGACGAGGCCGCACGGCAGGGTGACCACCTCGAACGCCCGGCCCTCGCCGTCGTTGTAGCCCAGGAGCTCCTTCTCCGACATCATCTTCGACAGCACGTACTTCTGCAAAACAATGTTTAATTTGGTTTCTTCTGTTTTTTGCTTCATCGTGTTCTTGATTGGAGGAGGAAGAACAGAGGAGGAGAGATCACGTCGAAGTGGGCGCTCCGGAGTGGGTAGTCGACGTCGAGCGGAGTCCAGCAGGACTCGTCGATGAAGTCCCTGTACCCGGCGGCGCCGACGCCGGCGCCGGGGACGTCGATCAACGGCGAGGCGGTGGATATCGAGGCGGTGTGGATGACGCGCTTCACCGTCTTGGATTCCGCGCATTGCCGGAGGATCTCGCGCACCGCGTCCACTGCCGCATCCGCCGTGTTCTTGTACTGGGAGCAACAAATATGATCAGAGCAGCAACAAGATCCAATCGACATAGATGAGCTAATGAGCTTATAATTCAACGGGTTTCTTTCTCGATCGAACAAAACATAATTAATCTCAGGAAAGATTTCAGGAAAAAAAGAAGAATTCGTCCTACAATCCGCGTGTTCAGAATGAGCAAATCTAAGTTTATTATTCCCCAATGGAAGTTGGAAATTCCAACTTGGAATGAATCTACATATGAGAAATAAAAATAGGGACAGAACATGGAAATTTCACCTTGGAGTTGGAGGCCTCCAGCCCGTACGGCGTGGCGATGAGGAAGACGAACTGGCAGCCGGCGATCGCCGGCGCGAAGGTGGCGGCGTCGAAGAGATCGGCCTCGAACAGCCGCAGCCGCTCCGCCGCGCCGGGGACGAGCCGCCGGAGCAGCCCGGCCTTCTCCTCATCTCCTGCATCCCACCAACCAAAACCCTCAACCCCACCATCGAATTAAACTTCCCAATCCCCCACCGATCTCTCCCCATTTCGCTCAAATCGCAGCACAAAATCGAATCACCGAGCAAAACCAACACGCGCACCCATGCTTCGCAGCGTGGCATGGACGATGCAGCCTCTCTCGAGGAGCTTCTTCACGAGCCACGAGGCGATGAAGCCGGCGCCTCCGGTGACGCACACCCGGACGCCGTCTCCGGCGACGCCGCCGCTCCTCCCCTCTTCCGCCATTGCCGCCGCCGCCCGAGTGCCAGGTGATATGTGATCGAGACCAGCCAGTATTTTATAGCACGAGACATCAAGTTTGACTGTTCTTAGAAGAAGGGAAAATAAATTTGACCGTTGACTAGTGAGCAAGCGAGTCAAACAGTCATTAATCCATTTGTTTTAGGGAAAAAAAACTTGCGAAAGTTTTAGAGGCACAAAACTTGGGCCGAGTTTAGTTCCAAACTTTTTTTTTAAACTTCTAACTTTTTCATCACATTAAAACTTTCTTACACACATAAATTTTTAATTTTTCCGTCACATCGTTTCAGTTTCAATAAAACTTTCAATTTTAACGCAAAAAACACACCCTTGTGAAAGTTTTCTAGTAAATCCATTTGTATTATCACTTGGTTACAAAAATATTCAAGTCATTAATCCATCGGCTATCCGTCAGAGAACCATACGAGCGAAGTAATCGATGATTTGCCTCCGGAGATTACCCATTAGTGTTAGTTAATCATCCACCTTAACAGTGGCAGCGAAAAATGAGGTTCAGACCTTCAGATTGCTGGTTTAGTACATACATGACAACAAACCACAGTGACAGTGAAAAATGAAGTTCAGATTTCAGATTGCTGGTAGTACACGAGTACACGACTGTAAACCAATGACGCCAAGGAATGCTCCATTGCTCCTTTTTATTTTAAGTATAGTAATTAGAACGCCTGAAGAGGCACACCAACACAATAATGATGGTAAATTGCACTAATCAGGATGATATTATCATCCTTGTAAACTAAGCTTGGACGCATCAAGGCAACCAAGTCTCACCGCGCATTCCACGCTCTCGTCCAGTATCTCCTCCATTCCGTACTTGTACTTGAACCCCAGCTCCCCCAGCTTATCAGTGTGAGCTTGAATGCTCGGCAATGTCTCCGTTCTGACACCAATTAAGTTCCAACATTTAATCAATCCCATCTCTAATGTATTATTTTCAGATGATTGATATCCCTATCCGTTCCAACAAAAACAAATCTAAAATAGGATATGACACTATATAGTACTCCATCTAGATATACATTAATCTAAATTCGTTGCACTAGATAATATTACATCTTATCGTATGTTGGTTTTCTGTGAGACATATATTGGTTTTATGTGAGATAAAGAGAATAGTTCAACGCAAACAATCCAATCATCACGTGAAATACTCCCTCCGTCCCTAAATATTTGATACCATTGATTTTTTTAAACATGTTTGACCGTTCATCTTATTCAAAAAATTTAAGTAATTATTAATTTGTTTTCTATCATTTGGTTCATTGTTAAATATACTTTTATGTATACATATAGTTTTACAAATTTCACAAAAGTTTTTGAATAAGATAAACAGTTAAACATGTTTAAAAATAATTAACGGTGCCAAATATTTAGGGAGAGAGAGTATTCTGGATATAATGTAAATATTTGATACCATTGATTTTTTTAAACATGTTTGACCGTTCATCTTATTCAAAAAATTTAAGTAATTATTAATTTGTTTTCTATCATTTGGTTCATTGTTAAATATACTTTTATGTATACATATAGTTTTACAAATTTCACAAAAGTTTTTGAATAAGATAAACAGTTAAACATGTTTAAAAATAATTAACGGTGCCAAATATTTAGGGAGAGAGAGTATTCTGGATATAATGTAAATATTTGATACCATTGATTTTTTTAAACATGTTTGACCGTTCATCTTATTCAAAAAATTTAAGTAATTATTAATTTGTTTTCTATCATTTGGTTCATTGTTAAATATACTTTTATGTATACATATAGTTTTACAAATTTCACAAAAGTTTTTGAATAAGATAAACAGTTAAACATGTTTAAAAATAATTAACGGTGCCAAATATTTAGGGAGAGAGAGTATTCTGGATATAATGTAAATATTTGATACCATTGATTTTTTTAAACATGTTTGACCGTTCATCTTATTCAAAAAATTTAAGTAATTATTAATTTGTTTTCTATCATTTGGTTCATTGTTAAATATACTTTTATGTATACATATAGTTTTACAAATTTCACAAAAGTTTTTGAATAAGATAAACAGTTAAACATGTTTAAAAATAATTAACGGTGCCAAATATTTAGGGAGAGAGAGTATTCTGGATATAATGTAAATATTTGATACCATTGATTTTTTTAAACATGTTTGACCGTTCATCTTATTCAAAAAATTTAAGTAATTATTAATTTGTTTTCTATCATTTGGTTCATTGTTAAATATACTTTTATGTATACATATAGTTTTACAAATTTCACAAAAGTTTTTGAATAAGATAAACAGTTAAACATGTTTAAAAATAATTAACGGTGCCAAATATTTAGGGAGAGAGAGTATTCTGGATATAATGTAAATATTTGATACCATTGATTTTTTTAAACATGTTTGACCGTTCATCTTATTCAAAAAATTTAAGTAATTATTAATTTGTTTTCTATCATTTGGTTCATTGTTAAATATACTTTTATGTATACATATAGTTTTACAAATTTCACAAAAGTTTTTGAATAAGATAAACAGTTAAACATGTTTAAAAATAATTAACGGTGCCAAATATTTAGGGAGAGAGAGTATTCTGGATATAATGTAAATATTTGATACCATTGATTTTTTTAAACATGTTTGACCGTTCATCTTATTCAAAAAATTTAAGTAATTATTAATTTGTTTTCTATCATTTGGTTCATTGTTAAATATACTTTTATGTATACATATAGTTTTACAAATTTCACAAAAGTTTTTGAATAAGATAAACAGTTAAACATGTTTAAAAATAATTAACGGTGCCAAATATTTAGGGAGAGAGAGTATTCTGGATATAATGTAAATATTTGATACCATTGATTTTTTTAAACATGTTTGACCGTTCATCTTATTCAAAAAATTTAAGTAATTATTAATTTGTTTTCTATCATTTGGTTCATTGTTAAATATACTTTTATGTATACATATAGTTTTACAAATTTCACAAAAGTTTTTGAATAAGATAAACAGTTAAACATGTTTAAAAATAATTAACGGTGCCAAATATTTAGGGAGAGAGAGTATTCTGGATATAATGTAAATATTTGATACCATTGATTTTTTTAAACATGTTTGACCGTTCATCTTATTCAAAAAATTTAAGTAATTATTAATTTGTTTTCTATCATTTGGTTCATTGTTAAATATACTTTTATGTATACATATAGTTTTACAAATTTCACAAAAGTTTTTGAATAAGATAAACAGTTAAACATGTTTAAAAATAATTAACGGTGCCAAATATTTAGGGAGAGAGAGTATTCTGGATATAATGTAAATATTTGATACCATTGATTTTTTTAAACATGTTTGACCGTTCATCTTATTCAAAAAATTTAAGTAATTATTAATTTGTTTTCTATCATTTGGTTCATTGTTAAATATACTTTTATGTATACATATAGTTTTACAAATTTCACAAAAGTTTTTGAATAAGATAAACAGTTAAACATGTTTAAAAATAATTAACGGTGCCAAATATTTAGGGAGAGAGAGTATTCTGGATATAATGTAAATATTTGATACCATTGATTTTTTTAAACATGTTTGACCGTTCATCTTATTCAAAAAATTTAAGTAATTATTAATTTGTTTTCTATCATTTGGTTCATTGTTAAATATACTTTTATGTATACATATAGTTTTACAAATTTCACAAAAGTTTTTGAATAAGATAAACAGTTAAACATGTTTAAAAATAATTAACGGTGCCAAATATTTAGGGAGAGAGAGTATTCTGGATATAATGTAAATATTTGATACCATTGATTTTTTTAAACATGTTTGACCGTTCATCTTATTCAAAAAATTTAAGTAATTATTAATTTGTTTTCTATCATTTGGTTCATTGTTAAATATACTTTTATGTATACATATAGTTTTACAAATTTCATAAAAGTTTTTGAATAAGATAAACAGTTAAACATGTTTAAAAATAATTAACGGTGCCAAATATTTAGGGAGAGAGAGTATTCTGGATATAATGTTTGTAGAATTAGTGGAGACTTACTCTTTGAGGAGGTCGAGGTGAGGGTACTTGCCGGCGAAGTGTTCGACGATGTCGTCGAGAGTCGGGTACGCGGCGGAGCAGAGGAACCGGCCGGTGAGGGACGGCTGCTCCATGCAGAAGACGAGCGCGTCGCAGACGTCGTCGACGTGCACCATCGGCACCGACCCCATCAGCCTCTGCAGCAGCCTGAGCGCCCGGAAGCGGCCCTCGTCCCGGGACACCGGCGACACGACGCAGTCCAGGCTCGTCGTCGACTGCCCCTGCAGCGTCCCGCCGGCGACGACGGAGCACGGCACCGTCACCACCTCGACCGCCGGCCTCCGCCTCTCGCCAGCGTGGCTGTGCCCCAGCAGCTCCTTCTCCGACAGCAGCTTCGACAGGATGTACTCCTGCATAGATAGATTTTGAGATCGTCGGTTCGTCGGGAAACACTTTTAATCACAGCTAGGTAGACATCCAACTATTTGTTGCACTGTCAACTAAATGTGCATGAAAAAAATTCAAAAAATTTAACAAGATAGATTTATATGTAATATATCACCCCACAAACATACAAGTTTAAATTCGGCTTCTACAAGTTATAACAAAAATAACAAATCAAACTCTGAATAGTATACGTATATTCACAGTTAAATTTGTTATTTTTTATTACGACTTATAAAAATTGAATTTTAACATGTATGTTTGTGAAGTTATATATCAATCTATCTTGTAAATGTTTTTGAATTTTTTTCAAGATTATTTAGTTGATATGCACTATATGAGTGGATATTCACTCGAGTGATTAGAATTCATCTCCGAAGTTCGTCGTGATTTTTCTTTTTTTTTTACATCGAACCGTGCGCTCCGGTAAGGGTAGTCGACGGCGAGCGGCGTCCAGCAGGATTCGTCGATGGAGTCCTTGAAGCCGGTGGAGTCCTCCTTGAGCGGCGAGGTCGCAGCCATGGAGCTCGTGTAGATGACGCGCTTCACCGTGCTGGATTCCTCGCATTGCCGGAGGATCACCCGTGCCGCGTCCAGCGCCGCCTCCGCCGTGTTATTGTACTGCATGCGATTCAGGATGGGAATGGTTAGGGTCGATCCATTTAAAACCTGTCCGTAAATTTATTCTAATGGATTTTTAGGGTCGAACCAAAAATATAAATGGATAAAACGGATGAAACCACTAGAACCTAGGTTTAAGGGGTTCAACCCAAAATGACTTCACATCTATAAATGTTTCAAAAATTTATATAAAATTGCTTCTCTCTATAATAATTCATTCCTATTAAATTCAACTAAATTTGACAAGTTTTTAAAGTGTGAACACGAGTTTAAAAATTTTAGGTCCGAGTTTTACACACGTAACTAAAATTTTTGGGTCTTAGTAATGCATTGTGGGCCTCGCATGTCTAAATGGCTTAAAATTTGAATAAAGTTGCTTCTCTATATAATAAATCATTTCTAAAAAATTCAACTAAATTTAATAAGTTTTTATAATGTGAACGTGAGTTTAAAATTTTGGGTCCGAGTTTACACACATAATGAAATTTTCTTAGTATATTAGTAGTGCGTTGTGGGCCCTATATATATAAAGGGCTCAAAATTTACACAAATTTGCTTCTCTGTGCAATAAATTATCCCACCAAAATTCGACTGAATTCGATAAGTTGTTATAGTGTGAATACGAGTTCAAAAATTTTCGATCCGAGTTTTGCATATATGTAATAAGAGTTTTTTTTTCTACTAGTAATGTAACCGATCCATTTGGATATCCATGGATAATCTATTAATATAATGGACTCATGATAGATTGACCCTATTAAACCATAGATCAACAAACTCACTCAAAACAGTTTATGTTCAATCCATATCCTAACCATTCACATCCTGACATGCTATGCGAGCTCCCCCAATTCAACCATGTGGAGAGGAATATAATCCCGGTGACATACGACGCCATCAATCAAAGCAAACCATGTGACTGTGTAGGACTACTAATTAATTGCCTCATTGAAAAGAACGATTAAATAGTACTCTCTCCGTAACAAATTACAGGACCGTCCTGTTTTTTTTAAAAAATCAAACATGATAACTTTTTTATTAATAATTATACTAACCATACGTATGTAAGTATTAAGTATATTATATCACTAGATTTAGTACTTTAATACGATGCTAATTTTATATTTATTGAAAATATAACACGAGATAAATTAATGATTAAAATATATTATTAAAAGTGTAAAAAATATATATCTTTTAATTTGGGACGGAGGGTGTACTAGAGTGAGATGAGAGTTTTCTCTGTTTTTTTTTTTTTTTACCTTCGTGCTGGTGGCGTCATGGAGGAAGGGCGTGGCGACGAGGAAGACGAACTGGCAGCCGGCGATGGCCGGAGCGAAGGTGGCGGCGTCGTAGAGGTCGGCCTCGAACAGGCGCAGCCGCTCCGGCGGCGCGTCGCCGGGGACGAGCCGCCGCAGGAGGCCCACCTTCACCTCGTCCCCTGAAAAACCACGCGACCAAATCAGCGACGCGACGCGCGGTAGGGGGATCGATCGCCGCGCCGGAGCGTTGAACCGCGTGTACCTATGCTTCGCAGGGTGGCGTGCACGGTGTAGCCGGCGCCGAGGAGCTTCTTGACGAGCCACGAGCCGATGAACCCAGCGCCGCCGGTGACGCACACCCTGACGCCGCCGCCGCTCCTCCTCCCTGACTCCTCCGCCATCGTCGTTCCTGCTACTACCAGTACCAGATCGGGTAGCCGCCGCTCACTGTGTGCAGATTGGTACGCATGGCTGATTGGCTGTATCTGATATTTTGATTCAGACTTGGGACAAGTCTGGTAAGCTTCAGCAGCAACCGCTTTTTTAAGTCAAAATCTCTCTAAATAATCCAGCTTTTATTTTAGAATTTAAGATTTGGAGAAGATTGTAAAATTCACAAAAATAAATTAAAAACCATAAGCTGATATTTTTTTTTCATCTTCTTCGTGTTCCAATCAGCTGGATTCCCAACAACTGCTTTTCTTGGTGATATTGTGCACGTCGATTACTACCGTCGTTTTAAAACGTAGCTATCTCTACCTAAAACAAAGCTATTTTTTCATATATCTCCTATTCTCAATTAATCATAAAAATTCTCTATTAAATTTATTTAATATATTTTTTTACTCAACCAACTTTAATCATTCCCAACTACTTTTTTTGTCTTCTGTGTAAGAGGAAGTAATTGCGTGCGTCGGTGACGTTGACAAGCTAGCCTAAAGCCAGGCCACGAGCCCATTGCTACACCAGACAGGCCGGCCTGGTTGGCCCAGCACACATTTAGCCCAGCAGTAACAGTGCCATTTCCCGGGTTCTTTGCTCCTGCCAACCATCCGACGTGTCGTCTCCCCGTGCCGCGCCGCGCCGCGCCGCATCCCCTTCTCCACTTTCTCCCTGATTTCTCTCCAAACGTCTCGAACCGCCACGTAGCTCGGGGGCGGCGGGACACGTGGCGGCCCGCATCCTTTTCCTGCACCCTTTTTCTCTTTTTTTTTTTTATACGGCGACCACCGTGTACCTTGCATACCATATCAAGCACAAGCAGCGGAGCGGAGGCAGGAGCAGAGGACGTCGGATCGCGCGAAGACGATGGAGGGCGGCGACGGGAGGAAGGAGACGACGGCGGCGGCGAGGGCGCAGAAGGAGGCGGCGGCGGCGGGAATCTCCGTGCGCGAGTCGCTGCAGCACGCCTGGGCCTCGTTCCTTGGCCTGGTAGAAACTCGCTTTTGGTTGGGCACGCTTTTGTGTGAGGTTTGCTCTGCTTCTGCTTTTGATCTGTGGGGTGTGTGTGGTTTTGCAGGTGAGGAAGGTGACGGCGAGGAGCGAGGAGGAGGCGGCGGAGGCGGACATGAGGGCGGCCAAGATGCAGGTGGAGGCCACCGACGAGGCGGAGGCCAAGAAGAAGCAGCTCGCCGACTGACAGCCGCAGCATGGCCACAGCGACGCAGTTCTGTTCTGCTCAGCCGCTCTTGCTTCGTACAAGTAGCTTGTAACATCTGAAAACTAGTTGTAACTTGTAAGAACATGGTAGTCACATGGTGTGCTAGTATGCCACTCGCACGATTTTTCTACCTGTTCGTCTCTGTATGTAAGTAACGGAATGTCAGAATCTAGCTACAGCTTTATGAATTACTCCAGCTGCAAGTTTGGTAATAATGGTCATTCTGGATTGTCTCGAAGATCGAAGGGTGGTTTTAAGAACATTACGGAAAATTGCAAATTCATTACTGCATGTTAAGCTAGACAGAATTCAGCCACAGAGAGACTGAAACTATACCTGATATGCTGAACAAACGAAAATCTCTGATGCTTACCTTTGAGCGAGAAAACCTGAATGTCCAGCCGAAGAATGGATAGTTCCTGTCATACAAAGAATAAAGTAATGCAACAAGCCCCCCAATCACCATGCTATAATATAGTGATTTTGCAACTTCTCGTGAGTGCAACCGGTTCCATACGACAAACTAAAGATTGCCAGAGAAGTGCAGAACACCAGCAAACACCTGAATGAGCACATGCATTTTAAAACTGAAAAGATAAAGCTGCCTCGAAATTAAGATCCTACCCGGACACAACAGATTATGAAGAAACCAATAACTTAAGTTCCTACCAGGACAAAACAGGTTACGAAGAAACTAATAACTGAAGTACAGTTACAGGGAGCTAAGCAACTCGTCACCTCTATATAGACAGGACTCAGCTCAGCTTGGTCACTGCCAAGCATCAATCAAAACTAATGCAACTAGCAGTAGCATAGAGGCGGCTAAGATATTGAACTCGCTGAAAATACTTCGCATGCCCACATCAGTTTCTCTCTGAGATCATGCAAATTATCCATTCTGGTAACATATGCACCTTACAGAATAACAAGCTACACAAATTAGGGAGAAATGTTCCATGCAAAATTACTTGGACACTGGCACTCAAGTTAGAAATCTTGCAAGTCATCTATGGCGCTAGGCACAGAGGGCACAACTCATAAACAACTTGCATGGTTCCTAACTTGATTACCAGTAGCCAAACAACTTTACAAGAAAAATTTATCCCTAAGTAGTGTTGTTACCCTGTGAGCTCCATATGTTGAAGAGAGAACGGGCATATGTTTGGCATAAGCTTGTCTTAATTAATGAAGAAGTCAAGCAAAACACCAATCTATGGTGTTAGTGTTGCTCCTCCTTTGGCGCAAGATTTGTCTCATCGGGGTTTTCCTTCTTGATTTCCAGTGGATCTTCCATACGGACATTTTCATCGGTGGCATCGGTGGCCATGTTCAAGCCTTCTCTCATAATTTCTACCGGAGTTTCAATTTCAGAGTCACTTTGATCTACTTCAGTGGCCAAGTATGTGCCTTCATTCTTACTATTTTTCACTGGAATTTCATAATGGCATGTTTCGTCTTCTTCGGTGGACAAGCCTGCGCTGTCATCCTTAGCTTCCACTGGTATTTCAGTACGTTCATTTTCATTCACCGTTTCTTCCCATGTAGCAGCCGACTGTTCCTTTTTCTTGTTCATTCTGACAGCATTTATTGATGTCCAAACCTTGTTTAAACCACTGTGCTTCTTGCCCCGCAGATGGTCAGCCATGGTCACGTTGTTGTCACACCTGACTTTGCAGCGATCGCACCACAGGTAATTGCTTTTTTGAACAACTTCATGCATTGCTCCATCTACCTGGATGCATATTTTCTTAGGTGCATCACTAGGGCCTGCATCATCCTTATTTGCAGTTTTTTCTTTCAGGCTGCTTTTGCCATCCTTAATCGCATTGCTGGCTCCACAATGAGCCAGCTTTGCCTTATGCCTTTTCCCTTCAAGATGTTCATTTAGAGCTCCCTCACTAGTTGCACTCACTTGACATAGTGCACAGCTCCAGTCCTGGGCTGGTTTCTGTAATTTCCCTGGTCGAGTGGTTGCAGGAATTGCATCTACTTTCCTCTTCACTCCTGAAACCTTTGTTTGTAAAGGTTTTGTTTCCAAAGGTTTTGCTTCTGAATGTTTTGTTTCTGAAGGAACCTGAAAAAGGATATTTCAGCTCAGCTAAAAACTTAATATGCATCTGACTGCTTCAAAATAACGCTCTAGAACAAAAGCATGTCATGGTCATTTGCTTGATTGAAAATATTTCTATAGGGATATCTACCAGATGAATGTGTGGATATTGGATAGAGAACACTGATGTCAAACAACAAAGGGCAAGAGGGACCAAACAATTTGATAAAGAACTAACCGTAGGTTTTTATATTGCTACAAGTAGAAACTGAAATCCACAAGTAATTCCCTAGTCCCCCTTCTGAACCCTGTATGATGTACCTCATACCCCCAGTAAACTATGCCAGCACTTCCAACAACCAAAAAACAGTGGTAAGCAGGGTTGGAAATTTCGGACCGAAATTTCCAAAAAATTTCAGAAATTTCGGTCCCCTCCTATACGATATTACTTCGGCTGAATTTTTTCAATTGTTTCATGCATTTTGGTAATATTTGTTCAAATTTAACTAAATTTTGTTCAAAATTTCAGAAATTTCGGATCGAAATTTCCGAAATTTCGGCATTTCGGTGAGGCCCAATCAAATCGGCCTAACCGATAGGATTAACCCTGGTGGTAAGTGGTATGTGTGTGTTGAGTAAAATCCTGTATTCAAGGCACCTTGATGGTGCTGTTCTACCGTTTCCTACCCTTCTTCTTGATAAATTGGGCCAGCGATCTTCGCCAAAAAAAAAGTGGTAACAGGTTACTACAGCCTGCTCAGCACTTCTTTCCCAACAAATGTGGATTATATCTCTTCTATCAAGTTTAGCCCATCTTCCTAAATCATAAATTTTACCTCAGAATGTTCATGTGTTCCAAAGGGCCAAATGACATCTCTGTGCACCAAGTTCACTCATGGCTAAACAATAAATTTCACTTCAGAAATTTCTTCTGGTCCAAAAGGGCAACAATCTCTTGAAATCTTATAATCTAATTAAAACTTTTACCTAAACCTTGAGATAAGTGTCCCCCCACAGTTCTTCATTATTGCAAAATGACTATCAAGGTGAAAATAAAAAACCCTTCTACCTATATGAGATGTATTGCAGCCAGTACTTAGATCTACTCCTGGACTTCCCCTGAATCAACAAAAACAATGACCACTCTACATAACAAGGATTTACTCACATGTTCTTTTATCATCAAGAGTATAGCAACACAAGCTAAAATGGAAGAAAGCTACCATCTAGAGATACTGTAATCAGAACTTCCAAGTGACAGAAGAGAAATGTGGTAAAGGAATTTCAGAACCAGGTATCAGTATCAGTGCTTTATGCCAAATAGGGAAATAAAAGTTGAGGAGAACGAAGGGGATGTCATTTTGTTGCTACTCAGAGTAAAAAGACTAGTTGGTGCAAACCTCGGAGCTTTCCCCAGGTTCGATCTCCCGCAGCACGAGCTTGTGCTTCGGCTTCGGCCGCGGCGGCGGCGGCGGCGACCACCTCCTCTCCGCGCCACCAAGGAGCATCCTCTGCCCGAACCTAAGCGGAGCAGCGACTCCGGCGTGCTGCCGGCGAGGTCGAAATCCCTCCCATGCCCCCAACTCCTGGAAGCGTGGCGGCGGCTCGTGCGGGTGCGGGTGCATGCCCACCGGCATCTCCGGCGGCGGCGGCGGCGGTCGCGGGAAGGGATCGTGCGGGAGCACGTGGAGGCCGTGGGCGAAGGCGACCTCGCGGCGCACGTCCTCCTCGATGAGCCGCCGCTCCACCTCCTTCTCGATGAGCCGCCGCCCCACCTCCTCGCTGATGATCCGCTCCAGCCGCGCGGCCTCCTCCCACCCGAACGGCGTCGGCGGCGGCGGCGGCGGCCGGAGCCCGCCGCGGAAGTGCCCCACTGCGCCTGCGCGGGGGGTGGCAGAACCTGTCAGGGACGAGTGAGAGCTCGACATCACAGCTCTATCCAGCCCCTGCTTAATTACCTCGCATGGCTTGCGCCGCCCCGACGAAGTAGCCGCGGCGGGTGTCGGAGAAGGGCCCGGACGCGGCGGAGGGAGGTCGATGCCTGCGATCGCCGGCGCGGAACCGGAACTCCATGGCCCTCGCCGCGGCGGCGCTGCGCCGCACTGCGCAGCACTGTTCGGTGGCTTTCTCCTCGGCCGCGCTTCGAGGTGGAAGAAGAGAAGAGACTGCTGTGAGTTGTTGCCATTGCTCGGCTTAAAAATCGGAAAAAGATATAGAATCTCGTAATTTGCGGAAACGTTTTGAAAAATTCAAACCATACCGGCAATCAGAAAACACTGCAGCCGCCGGTAATCAGAAGATTGCCGTTAAAACACCACTAATGGCAGAAACATACTCCCTCCGTTAAAAAAAACAAACAAACTCTAAGTTTCCGTGTCCAACATTTAAGTTTCCGTGTCCAACATTTGAATGTCCGTTTTATATGAATTTTTTCATAATTAGTATTTTTATTGTTGTTAGATGATAAAACATAATTAGTACTTTATACGTGACTTATCTTTTTAATTTTTTTCATAATTTTTTTAAATAAGACGAACGGTCAAATGTTGGAAATAAAAACCTAGGATTTGTCTTTTTTTTGACGGAGGGAGTATTTAATTTCTCGCGAATTTTTCTCGCCATACTGAACTTGCACAACCTGCAACGGTGCAAATGGACTACTGCCTGAGTGCGTATCTGACAAATCTGCAAATCTGATAAAGCCATACGAGCAAGATCAAAAGAGCACAGCACCACTACGAGTGGTTAGTACACTCAACAGGTAACTCATTTCCACCAAAATGTACACTTGTACAGTAGTTAGAAGAGGATTGGTGAGATGAAATCACAACCGGAAATTACAAACTGGAGCTTTGGAGAATAACAAACTGATTGGCTGCTAATGCAGCAGAACATGAATGGCCACGGGTGTAAACGCTGTGTCAACAATTTAACGAGGCTGGTATGTACACCGAAATTTCGTGAATTATGCCTGTTTAGCCAATTGCGATATCGCATCAGGATACACTGGGTGTTCTTTGGTGTACCGGTTTTATCGGGCTAGAACATCACGAGCTACTCTCCTCGGTCACACTGATCACAAGAGTTTAGGGTTAGTATGTGTGGGTAGAAAAATCGATTATGAATGAAAGAGATCGTCAGCTGCATTGAAGAAGGTAACTCACTGAATCTCAGACCAATGTGTGTCTCCAGTTGGTTGTTTGTCGGCAGCTGATTGTTCCGCAGGACTGACATTCTTGTTCTGACTAATTGGCTTCTTGAACTGCACTAGGATCATTGTCATGTTGTCGCATCCTTCTCCACCCAAAGTTGATGGAGCCAGGCATCTATCTAGCACTCTTTCGCATACCGCAGAAAGGCTGCTCTCCTGCATTTTGTTTCCATGCCTCAAGTATTGCCAAAGACCAAGAAATCCCATATAAGCTTTAACATTACAGAAATAAACTGTTACTCACTGTGTTTATGTGTTCGTGGATGAAATCAACCAGCTGTTGGCTAGACATGCAGTCCCTGTTTGTGGTCAGAGTATATGGTGGTTACTTCTGAGTTCTGGCCAAAGAAACTGTAAAACTGCAGCTAATAGCTTGTGCAAAGTAGCATAATAGGCTATTACACTGATAGCAATTATGGAACCCGTTGATAGAGGGGCTTACCAGATGCCATCACATGCTAAAACAAGAAAGTCATCATCATCACAAAGCTCCACCTACAAAACCAAATAAGTTTCATAAAATACCATCAGGAAGGAAACGATAACATGGTATAGTAGCTGGGACAATTTAAAACAATGTTAGAAGTTGAAGTGCTTACTGTGTTGATGTCAGGGTTTGCAGTTAACATTTGCTTATCAGGAGACAAGAACTTGTTCTGTTTAAATTCAATGTCACCTACAGAAATCTTTGCATGTGTAAGGCATCATGTAATCAGTATGAACAGAACAGCAAGTACAGAACATACCAATTGCCCTTGACAAGTTTATAGTTCCATTTACTCGTCCCATCTGTATGTACCCTCCTGCTTTTAGTATTCTTTCTCTCTCTGCTTCAAGCTCTGGTTTGTGGTCTCTTGATAAATTGTATGCCTATATTACAGATAGAGCAATAATGAGATCCTTGTTGCATCTTTACATATAAGTGTAGTACAAGTCTCTGAGGAACAACAATGACAGACCTGACCATTCCTTGAGATAACACAGCGGGAATCACCAGCATTTGCGACAACAAGTTGGCTATTTCTTACTATTGCAACACAAGCTGTGCTCCCACAGGTTGGCCCAGCAAAGTCAGAGTGTGGCCCCTGGTATTAAAAAAGTGTTGTAAGACTACATGAAGCACCTAATGTCAAACTGTGAAAATATGAAGAAACACCAATATGATAGCATTGCTACAGGCACCGCACAACATGACAATAGCAAACGAGGACAAAAAATATTCATATGCTTGTCAAGAGTTCTCATTGTTGGTATCATAAGCCCCATGTGTGAATCTTAACAACTTAAAGTTGTTCTCTGATCTGTATATATAACTGCCCTTTTGCAACTTTAAACACTTAGTGAAGGTGGATACCATATGTCTAGTCATAACACATGAGCGTTAAGTTATACAAATGCTTAAGGCACCATCTTGCAATGTAGATTGCATGTTATGTTATGTTTGATCAGTCAATTCATGCCAAGTGCACAAGTACCTCTTCAAAAGCCCAATCATCGTGTTGATCATTTGAATCACTGCCTCTTGGAGACCAGATCAAGCCTTCTATCATGCCACTAATCTGGTTTATCTTATCTCCAAGTGCTTGTAGTTCTCGCCAGCCTCTTTGACCTCGCATCATCTCATCCATTCTGAAATGATGCGGTCATTATTTCTGTTATAAACAATTGTACAGAAAATTGCCAATTGGTTATGAGGGAAAAGGCATTCAAGCTTCCTATACCTAAAGAAAGCTTTATGGGCTGCATTGCCCAGGTCACCTGCTGAATAGGCCTCACTTCTGAGAACTTCTCTGTGCAGATATTTTGCACAGAATTTAGCAACCACTCTTCCTGAGACAAGGTATTAGGTTGATGTTTGTTTTAGTCCAATGTTCAAAAAGTCATGAGTAAAGAAGAGCAACTGTTCTCTACAGGTAACCATACCTCCATGTCCATCGAAAACACCAAAGAATGATGTGTCATTATCGATATCTAGCAAAGCTGAATGCTGGAACATTGCATGCAGAATTAGAGTTTGCATTATAAAATGAGCCAACACAATCACAGCTGAATTAAAACAGAGGAAATTTTAGCTTATAAAAAGATGTCAACTGGACATGCCAGGTGGCAATATTTTATTAGTCTATGCTAAAGAACTAAATAAGTCACCAAATATTAGCCATAGCTTCTGCTTTAATGGTAGTGATCAAGACTTATTATGGATATATCTAGATTATATTTTCAGTAGCTACTAGCTAGTTTGAACATCCAGTATAGGCAATAGTTCAGTATGGAGTATATGCCAAACAAGTTCTAAGATGCCTACATCCAACATCTGGAGAATAAACTGCCGTGGTAAAATCAGGAAAAGTGTGAGGTCCTTTTGTGTGTGCGTGCACGTGCACATGTATTTGTCATGGACTCATGGTTACCTCAACACCAGATCTTTTTTCAGCTAAAATGGTAACTGGAAATCATCAGTTGATTCATGATTTTGCTGATTTAAAATAAGTCCACCAAATGTATGAAAAGATATCACTACTTTAGGACCAAAATTCAACAAACATATAAATGTTACTTATCTCATCAGTCATCACCTCTGAACCGCTAATCAAATATCATTTCAACTATTTTGTTATGTATATGGACTTCAACTAACCTCAATGACAACTTTGCTATTGGAAAAGAAACTCTATCCATTGTACAGACACTGGAGTTTACATTTTCCTAACATTCTGGAGGTATCCATCGAATAATGGAATCTGGAAATACGAAAGTGGTAAGCAACATTAAGGAATAATGGATAGAAACTCACAGCATCCTCCATAGTTGCACGCCATCCTTGCATAGATGAGAGTCCAAATTTAAGCTTATCATTTTCGCCATCTTCAGATAGCTTCTCGGTTTTGGGGGTACTAAGGTAAACTCCCATTTTTACAAATGTGCCTGACAACAGAATATGTCAGTAGGAAAAGAAGCCTAGTGCGCACTAACAACCCTCTAGAATACACTTGAATGAAGCGGCATTCATCTACTTTGCATATGATTGTACGGGCAATCTAAAGTTAGTTCCAAAGTTCTTTCTAGCATACCGACAAGTTTATATGTCAGAAATTACAACAAAAAAATGCTTAAACAATAACTTGAAAGCCCCTGCATACAAGAAAAACCAGAGTTTTACGCTGCTACACATCCAAAGATTAAAGAGCATTTTCAGCAGAAATAGCACTAGACCCAAACTTTGCAAAAGCACCAGTGTATATGCAACAACAAATAAAGCATATCAGGGTGCAGCAAAAATCAGCGAAGAAAAGGTTTGGTTTGTTTGCGACCATGCCAATATATACTATGTGTGTTTCAAAGTCCGCCTATAACTAGTACAATCGATTCTGCCGACAACAAAACTAGTTCAATACCATATTTGATGTATCATTTTGTAGCGTAGCCAAGATATGAAGATAAACCATCATAGAAAGTAAACGGATTATACATGTATATTTTACATTTTTACAACGAAAATTCAAAGCAAGTCCATCCTAGTAGCAGTCAACTAGTACAGTATATCCACCTCACGTGGGGGGCACACGGGGGGTGCTAATTGGGGGTGAAACCAATCAAATTCCGGACGGATCTCCACTCTACGCAGGCGAAATCGAGTGGTGCGAAGAAGGCGCTACGAGCGAAGAACGGAATACATACCTACCTACCTCCAATTCAATTCGTGCTGCCGAGAGGACGGAGGCCCCGGCTGCGTCGCCCCTCGCCGGCCGCGCGCGCGCGAGCGCGAGGAGTCCTCACTTGGGAGGAGGCTAGGTGGGGGGCGGGGAGTCGGGAAGGGGACGAGGACGAGGAAGTTCACCGCCGCGACGCCGCTCGCCGGCTCGCCGGCCGCGCGCGCCAGGGAAGACGAGAGGGAGAGGAGATGGTGGTGGTGGAGTAGACGAAGACGAGACTACGAGTGAGGGGAGAAGGAGGAGAAAGACGGGAAGGGACAGTGTTGGAGAAGAAAAGAGTAAAGTCCATCACCAGTCTCTAAACTTCTATCGCTGTGTCATCTCGGTCCATAAACTTACAAATCGACTGTTCAGATCCTTAAACTTGTTCGCATGTGTCATCCCGGTCTCTAAACTTATAGATCACTCGTTTAGGTCCTCCAACTTTTTCAGTTGTGTCACTCCGGTCTAAACTTGGATTTGAATATCATCTGGGTCAAATAGGACAGTCTAAAGACTTTATATTTAAAAATAATTGATAACTTTTTTATGTGAGCTCTAATGAAGACAAACTTTATATCAAACTTGTAGCCCTCGACGCGATCTACAACTTTGTAGTTGAATTTTTTTTATTTTAAGTCATTTTTTGTCCTAAAATGTAATTTTAAAATTAAAATTTCAAAATCTATAAACATGCAACAATATTTTGGGACCCTAAACAGTTTTAATTCAAAAACTTTTCAACTACAAAGTTGTAGGTCGCGTCGAGGGCTACAATTTTGATATAAAGTTTGTCATCATTAGAGTTCACATGAAAAGTTATGAATTATTTTTTGATATAAAGTTTTTAGACCGTCATGTTTAGGGACCGAGGTGACACAACTGAACAAGTTGGAGGACCTAAACGAGTGATCTGCAAGTTTAGAGACTGGGATGACACAGTCGAACAAGTTTGAGGACCTGAACGGTCGATTTGCAAGTTTAGGGACCGGGATGACACAGCAGTACAAGTTTAGGGACCGATGGACTTTACTCGAAAAAATCATAGGATCTGGTCTTTTCTGCCATCGGAAGGACACCTCTGTGCCCAGTGATTGACACGTGGCGAGAGCACAGATCTCAAAGCAATCACCAGCCGTCTGTGAGTCGTTCGTTCAGTGCGTGAGAGTATCAGATTATACCGATGCGCATTTAGATCAATCCCCTCCCTCCTAAAATATAAACATTTTTAAAATTTCACACAGTCTTTTAGATATTATTTTGACTAACAATTTTCTATAAAAGTAATATGTTTTAAATAAAAACAGTTGTATGTTGTGATACTTTGTTCAATGATAAATCCAATAACATCGATTTTGTGATCTTTTTTATTTTTTCCTATTAATAGTAAAATTTAAAAATATTTGACTTGACATTATTTTAAAAATGCTTATATTTTGAGACGGAGGGAGTAATTTATTTTAGATAATATATACTCTAAAAAAGCTCATTTAGATCTTGGATTACCCATTTACCCCCTAAGAAAATCTTGGCTTACATCATCGTGTACTATGCTAGTATACTTATGTATATGTTATATAGATACATCTGCGTTATCCACTCCTTGCAAATGCAAGCAATGACACTGCAATTGTGCAATCCGTCGTCAAGTCGTCCATGGAATAAACATGAGAAATATAAAAAGGGTCACGAAAACGATCTGCCAGATCTTTGCTGACAGATATTAGTAGTAGATAGACTGATAGAGTGAAGTGGTCAAAGCAAGGAGCCGGTCGGTACAAGGCTTCACTTGCATGCGCTGCACGAAAAACGCAACTAGTAGGAAAAGAGACGGTTTCGTGATGCATAGTTTGGGTGTCGGATCTGCGTAATAACTGCGTTCTTCAACGAATTTTTCAGGCGCTGAATTGCGGTGCAGTTGGGTGAGTGTCGGACTGTTGGGTGGTGATGTGAGGAACACCATGGGCCTGGCCCAACGCTGTGCAATTACCTCGAGCTCGCCGGTTCCATTGCCTCCCTCATCTTCTCCTCCTTCGTCGTCGTGGACCGTCGGAGCCCTCTCGTCACCAACCTCGCACAGCTGCTGCCGTCTCCCGCGGATGGCTTCGCTGGCCTCCGCCTCTCTCCCGTGCGGTGAGCTACTGGGGGAGAGGGGAGAGGTGGAGAAACAGGGAAGAGTGGGAAGAGTTAAAAGGTCCACTTGAATGTCATGTCATCCAAAACAATCATCCATATTTTTATGGGGTCTAACTTAAACAGTTTTTCTAATATAAGGGTGAAGATTTCTCGCATTGCTGTTTAGGCTGTGTTCGCTGCAGGCAATTAAAAATATATCTCCAGCGCACAGAAAACGAATCGGTCCATTAGCGCGCGATTAATTAAGTATTTGTTTTTTTTTCAAAAATGAATCAATATGATTTTTTAAGCAACTTTCGTATAATTTTTTTTTAAAAAAAATACCGTTTAATAGTTTAAAAAGTGTACACGCGGAACATGAGGGAGATGAGTTAGGTACCCTTGCAGCCGAACTAAGAGAAGTGTTAATTAAACTCGATGGAAAGATGAGGGACAGAAAGCAGACTTATTCCTAGTCAGCTTAGCTATACAGGCCCAAATGTCCCCGTAGCTAGAATGTGGTAGCCCATAGTAATAATCCACTTTGACTCCGTTAACTAATGGCCGAATCTGATTCGTATTCCTAAACCGCAATACTGGATATCTTTAGCCCCCAACTATTAAAACCGGTGTAATTTAACTCCCTAGGCGGTTTTACTGACGTGGCGCGTTGACCTAGTCCAACCTGCTAACTCAGCATGTGGGTCCCATTGGTCAGTGCCACATTTTCTTTCCCCTCCATTTCTTTATTCTTTTTCCCACGGTGACCCAAGCATGCATGGCCAAAGGCAGCGCGGCGGCGGCTGGCCATCTGCGTCGGGGTGGTGCCGGCCAGCGCTGTCCCTACTTGCTACCACAAGCAGTGCAGCCCAAGGCTCTTGCCACCATGCACGGCGGCGCGCACGCCTTCGAGGAGAGGGAGCCTCGCTGGCAGGCAGCCTAGCCGAGGCCCCGGAAGCAGCAAGCCGGCAACGGTGGGTACGAAGATGAGCCCGGAGCGCACGGCGACCTGGTTCTCCTCCGTTGGATTCTGCCCGAGGCGTACTCCCAAAACCTTTGCCCATCTCTGCTTTCCACTCCTGACGATGAGATGTACTCCCAAAACCTTCGCCTTGCCGTTTGCACTCTGCCCAGATGCTGGGCCTCCGGCGACGATTCCGGGCCCGGCATGTCCAGCGCAGTGGAGACAGGCCAAATCTGGTCAGAAAAATACTTATCTGAAGATTTGAAACGGTCCATGATTTTTCTAGTAACACGATTAGATTAATTAAGCAAGCTTGGTAGCATATCATTAGCTCAAGTAGCATACCAGGCATAAAATGGAGTAGTCAAAAGAGATGCTGCAAAGTTCAGAGAATATGCAAATCCATGGACCTGAAGCTGTCGACTGGTAATGTGACCAAAATTCAGAAACTGGTTAGACTGAAATGCAAGCAAAGGCGTCCAACACAGTAGTGGAGCATCGACTAAACAAGAGAGGTGACGCCCGCTGGTTTGGGTTGGGGGAGGTGGTGGACCAGCAGCGCGACGGCGCTGCCGAGGCGTGACCAAGCTTCTGGAGGCGGGCGGCGGCGTACGGCGCACCACAGCGTGCCCTCCGCTGAGGACGCCTCACGCGGGGCTGGGGGAGCGGCGGCGGTGGAGCGTGCGGACCGGGGAGGCGGAGGCAGGCGCGGGGCCAAAGAGCGAGAGCGGCGGCACTGGCGCCTTGCCGAGGCGCCGCGACGGCGATCGCTCGATGCTCCTGGAATCAATCGGTTGTCGGTCGCTCGATTTGGGCTAAGCCACGCCGCGCTACCGCACTTGGAGGCCGCGGCCGCTCCGGCCCTCTCCCGCTCGCCGCCGCTGCCACTCCAGGACACATCGTCCCGCCCGCCGTCGCCACAGTCGAAGGGGAAGGGGAAAAGAAAAGAGAAAGATCAGGGGGAGAGAGGGAAGAGGAAGAAGGGCGTGAGAGAGAGAGGATGACATGGTGGGTCCCACTGATATTTTTAAAATTTTAATGCCACCTAAGCGCCACGTGGGTGGAAGACCAGGTCAACACCGCCACGTCAGCAAAACCACCCTCCAAAACCGCTAGAGAAGTCAAATTGCACTGGTTTCAATACTTTGGGGAGTCATCCTATCCGGTTTTCTGGTTAAGGTATACGAATTAGATTCTGTCTTTAAGGGAGTCAAAGTGGACTTTTTCCTAGCCCATATCACCCATCTCTTCAGAAATTGGCCCAATATCCTAGCTAGATAGACCTGTTGTTTTCTTCGGGGAATAAGTTTATCTGAGGTCCCTTAACTTGTAAACGAAATCGATTTTTGTCCTTCAACCGAAAAACCAGATACAACGGATCTCTCAACTGTCAAAACCGGTGCAATAGAAGTCCCATGGCGGGTTGGACGGCGGTTTTCACTGACGTGGCACCTACGTGGTTATTTTGACTCGGTCTTCACATGACGTGGCGCTTACGTGCAATTTGATTTGGAAAATATTAGAAATTGTGGGTCCACATGTCAGTTTGCACTAAAAAATTATTTTAAAGATGGTATGACCCACGTGGGCCCCACATGTCATTCTCACCCTCCTCTTCTTCCTCCTCTCTCTCCCCAAGACCCCAACTCCCTATATTCATCTCTCTCCCCTCTCCTCTGTCCTCTCCGTCGGGCGAGGAGGGAGGCGGCGCACGGCGGCTGGGGGGACGAGCTCCCGTTCCTGCTCGTCGAGCACCGACCGCCGCGCCGCCCTAGACGGCACCTGGAGCAAGCCGCCGACCCACCTCCGCCACCGCCTCGTGGCTCTGCCGCCGGGCACAACGACCCCGACTCCTCCGCCACGCGCGCTGTCGTCCTGGCCGGCGGGGCGCTGGCCTCGGCACCCTCCACCGGCCGCCCGTCGACCTGCTCGTCGCCGGCCACCTCCTCGGCTCCGCTGCCCGTCACGACGCTACCGGCGTCCCCACGCCACGCCGCCAAGGGGTACCGAGCCCGTCTCCACCTCCGCCGACCCGACGCCTTCACCGGGATGCGGGGGGCGAGCTCCGTACACCACCTCTCGCCGTCTGTCTTGCTGCGCCGGCGCCGGTGCCCTCCATTGGCATCTACAGTCGATCCGACGCCCCTAGTCCCCCTGTTCTCTCATTCTCTCCTCATTCTGTGTCTACTCACATGTGGCCGGCGACCTCCTCCTCCGACTACCTCCACCGCTGCCGCTCCGCCACTCCGCCACGATGACGAGGGAGAGCCAAGAAGGAATGGTGGGGCCCACGTGGGCCCCACCATTTTTTTTATTAATTTATGTGTTAAACTGACATGTGGGTCCCACGAATTTATTATTTTTCTGGATCGAATTACCATGTAAGCGCTACATCAATATCACATTAGATGAAGACCAAGTCAAATTAGCCACGTAGGCATCACGTCAACCAAAACCGCCAAGGGACCTCATCTACTCTGGTTTTGACAGCTTAGTGACCCGTTGTATCTGGTTTTTTGGTTGAAGGACGAAAGTCGGATTCGTTGACAAGTTAAGGGACCTCATATGAACTTAATCCTTTCTTCGGGCATATGGCAGGCAGCGTGCGAAGTGCACGCATGCTTGCAGGAGCAGGAAGAATTTAAAACTACATAGGCACGCTTGATGCAGCGATGCATAACAAGTTCAGCCAGGAGTATAACGTAGTTGGAGGAGTAGGTGGTGATTGGAAGGTTGTCAAAAAAACAGACAACGGCGAGGAAGAAGAACACATACCAGTAATCATCCTGTATTTTGTTTTCTAAAAAAAAGGACGTGCACTTGATCGCGCAGAGTTGATTAATTAACAGAAGGCTGTCTAGTTAGTACTGTATTTGTTTACTGTTAGCTTAGGAGAGAGTAATAGGATCAGACAGGCTGATTGGCTGAACGGGTAGAGGGAGGAGGATCGCATCTCCAGGAGAAAAGCTCCGAATATTCTGAACCGAAATTCGCATAGCCATTGCAGCATTGGCTGGCATTGGCTCCCCCCGTCTGGTCCAGCAAGTCGATCCGGTCAGCAGCTACCGCCGCAACAAAGATCCGTCAACCCTTTAGCCCGATAATCCAATAGCCAATTCTCGCTAAATTCGCGAATAATTCGTCGCATTTTAAAAAACCCAGCAAGTAATAGTAGTTACCTAGCTGTCCTTCAAATTCATAGATTGGAAATCATGAGCTGTGTTCTTGCGGAAATTCCTGTGAAATCCGAGAGGATTATTCCAGGTGGGAGTATTAAAAAACCGACGCAAGTTTTTTTTTAATCAAAAACTTTTTCTTTAACGAATCGACGAGGCCGCTAATTTCATTGAATAGCGAAGAAGGGAACTGTACAAAAAAGAAACTTTACAAAATCAAAGATAGGACTGCAGCCGTGCCGAAAAGATTAATTACAGCGACAGCCAGGCAGCGAGGCTTCTCGCACCCGCAAGACTCCACGTTTTTGCTTTCTCTTTTATTTTGGATAGAAGATTTGACGCCGGCAACTCCTTGTGCTGGAAAGTCCTCCGATTTTTTTCGTTCCAGATCTCCCAGACCAATAGCAAAGTTAACGTGCGTAGTGTCTTCTTTGGTGCTTCTCTTGTACTCACGATGGCTAGTAATCAAAAACTTTTAGATGTAACTATAATTAAAGTGTAATTACTTTATAATTACTTCCTCCGTTTTAGGTTATAAGACGTTTTGACTTTGTTCAAAGTTAAACTGTTTTAAGTTTGACCAAGTTTGTAGAAAAAAGTAGTAACATTTTCAATCCAAGATAAATTTATTATGAAAACATATTCAATTATTGATTTGATGAAACTAATTTAGTATTATAAATATTACTACATTTATCTATAAACTTAGTCAAATTTGAAACAGTTTAACTTTATCAAAGTCAAAACGTCTTATATCATGAATCCTAAAACAGAGAGAGTATATTGTAACTGCATTGCAACTACACTATAACTATGATGTAACTTATATAAAATATGCATTTAATTAAGGTTTGGTTAGCTAGTGATATGTGTGAAAAATTCTTTTTAACAATTTTTTTCATGGATAAATCTCGAGATGGTCCGGTGATTATAAATCTGAAAGTTTGAGGAAAAAAAAAACTTACCGAAGTTTTCTCCGTTCCAGGTTTGCCCGACCCGTTTGGGGGCGCCGCATGTATGCCGTGGCGGCGGCGCGCGCTCGCGTGATACTGTGATGTACCATCGCCATCGGCAGCGGCATCTTCTCGCCGTAGCCAACGTCCGATTCCATTCCATTCCATCCATCCATGCATATTAATCCTTCTCCTCTCTGCGCAGCCGACGCCTAGTGATAGCTTCCACGCTACTCCCTCTCTCCCCAAGTCTACGGCGGCGTACGTTGAGCCGCGTCGTCGGCGCGGCGACGTCCGGCGGCGCTGGGCCAGGATGAGCTACTCCGGCGGCTGCTCGACCTGCCTCGAGACCATCTTCTCCGTCGTGCTCCCGCCGCTCGGCGTCTTCTTCCGCTACGGCTTCTGCAGCGTAAGCCACCGCCGCGCCATTGATAGGATTATAGTTGAATAGCTCGTCGATCGATGCCGATTTCGCTTGGTTGATTGATTTCTGCTGCTGGTTTTCGTGCGTGCAGTCGGAGTTCGTCGTCTCGTCGGCGCTGACGGCGCTGTTCTACGTCCCCGGCATCGTCTACTCCGTCTGGGTCGTCATCCTCAAGACGCCGCCGGAGCCGCCGGGGATCGACGGGGAGCGGCCGTACTACATCCTCGCCTGATCGACCACGCACACACGCCAACGGCCGGTGAAATTCAGTTAGGTAATTGGTCGTTGAGCGTTTGCATAATCAAATTACTCTTCTAGCTGTAATGATATTGCATTAGTATACTATGTGGCGATTGGGAAAAGCTGTAGCTAGTAGTTAGTGGAATAGTGGTTGGTTCAGGCCTCACGGCCTCCTGATTGTAGCAATGATTATTGTACTGTTCTTTGTTGGTTCTTCTTATTTTTCTTCTTCATTCGACGGGTTTGTGCCTTTGTGGTTGTTTAGATTGTTCGCCATGCGGCATTGCGGCATGCTGTATAAAATGTAAAATATATAGTGGGTTGGTCGATTCTTGTTTTGAGGGACAAATGTATATGGATTATTTGTTAGTGCATGTAGCAGCTGCTAATTTGCAGACTTGGATATGGATGAGTCATGTTTGTTAATTAGATGCATGGATTTATTTTTCACAGAGATCAAATTAAAGATCGATTAATGGTGTTTAGTTTGATAACAATGTAGTGATTGCCTTTTTTATACTACTGTCTATCTGACTATCTCTAATCCAAATCTGAGCTTAAGTTTCTTTTTCTAAGCTTAACTGATGAACTCTGATGAGAATTCGAGATTTATGAACAGATCGACATCCAATGTAGAGTAATGCAAATTAATCTTGTAGGAATTCTAGAGTACTATAATCTGTCTTTCTTATGCGTCGAATATCTGAATAATCTGAATGTGTGCCACATGAACAGCAAACTAATCTTGTTACTGAATGACTATATCACTTAAGTACTACATTTCTGGAGACAACACATTCTGGATAAGCTACAAAAGCTACAAACCTTGTCTGAATATACTACATATGTATGCCGCATGAATCTTCATCCGCAATATACAGTAACAGGAACGGAGAGTTCAGTTTCATTAATGCTAGGTTACATGATGAACTGCAAACTATAGCATAACTGCAAGTGTGGGGGCCATTTTTTTCAGTTTCCTAACCGAGCAAGATCCCTATTGGATATGTCAACAAATAATTCGTTTAGCAAAATGTATGTTCAAGAAAAGTTCCCTCTTTGAGTCTGACCGTACCAGGTGGAGGAGAAACATTCAGAAAACTGCATGTACTAGGGTCTGATCGATCAGTAGAACAGATCAGCGATTGGCAATGTCCAGACAATGTGGCCAATTTCTTATGGAAATGATCCTCTGACTTAGCTGTTGTGCAATTGAGCCACTAACATGCGGACCATAGTAAAAGTGGGACCCACGTGTCAGGGACTTAACTGCATGTGCAGTTAAGTCAGAGGATCTGCTTCCTTTTCTTACTTTCTCGGGGATGATGCAGGGTAAGGCAGGAGTTCTAAATCTTCCGGGTTATGTGTAAGTTCAGAAGTTCAGAAATTAGCACTCTTGACGAGTAGCACGCTGTTGAGGATTTGAGGTGTAGTGTACATGTTGACATGTTGTTAAGGGTGTGTTTAGTTCGCGAAAAGAAAATTTTTAGGTGTCACATCGGACGTTTGACCGGATGTCGGAAGGGGTTTTCAGATACGAATGAAAAAACTAATTTCATAACTCACCTGAAAACTGCGAGACGAATTTATTAAGCCTAATTAATCAATCATTAACACTAACACATGTGGGTTACTGTAGTACTTATGGCTAATCATGGACTAATTAGGCTCAAAAGATTCATCTCGCGATTTGTATGCAAACTATGCAATTAGTTTTTGTAATCTAAATTTAATGCTCTATGCATGTGTCTAAAGATTCGATGTGTTGTTTTTAGGAAAAAAATTAGAAACTATTCAAGGCCTAAGTGAACAAGCATCTACTCCTGTCTAGGCTCAAGGGTCAGGGTGATACCACTGCACTATACCAGCGTCCTACTCCCTCCATCTTACCGTTGCGGGAGGGAGTATTACTGTTTACCGTTGCGGGGACGGCATGATTTTTTTTTAAGATAATGAAAATAGTTACACATGACCAATAAGTCTTAGCTTTGAGAAAGAAAAAGAAAATAAACTCAAGTGATGGACAAGTCTTCAACTAAAATAATGACTATTAAAAATAGAGGGAGAGAGTATTACCATTTACCGTTGCGGGGACGGCATGTTTTTTTTAGATAATGAGAATGGTTACACATAACCAATAAGTCTTAGTTTTGAGAAAGAAAAATAAAATAAACTCAAGTGATGGACAAGTCTTCAAATCCTTTAAAAAATTGACCACTAAATTAAAAACTATGACAAATTACATAGATGCTATTTTAACCACTAAATTAAAAACTATGACAAATTACATAGATGCTAGATAGTAATTCTGTACATACCCTTAACTACAATTCCAAAAATATAATACCAATGTGTATGGTATTCTGCTTAGTATCAAAGATCAAGTACGGAGTTGGATGACGTGAATGCTCTCCAAGTTTGCATATGATCCATTGATTCCCTCACAAGCAACAGTTTTCTTTATGATTCCACACCCTCCCAATCGTCCATGTTGTGCGTAATATAACAGAGCAATTCTAAAAGTCAATGCTGGGCCCTGTATCAACTAAACAGGCTTTCAGAGTTGCTGTACTAGTAACATGCGATTAACAAAATTCAGAATTTGGTAAAAAGTACATCATGACACCGATCTCACTTAACCAACACCGTGTTTAGTTTCGAAGTTACTTTTCAAAATTCCAATTTTTCCATTATATCAAAGCTTTCCTACACACAAACTTTTAACTTTTTCGTTACATCATTTTAATTTCAATCAAACTTCCAATTTTAATATGAACTAACCGAGCAACAGAACTCGCTGCTGCAACGCAGGCCTTATCTGCGTCGAGGCTCCATCACGTGGTCGTTGGATGCGACCACGCGGCGATCCAACGGCCACGGAGACGCTCCTCCCCAACCTCCGATATTTTTTTTCTCTCCTTCTCCTCTCCCTTATCACCTTCCTCTCCCCAAAGTCCAAGGTTCTACCGGGGTTTCAGATTTCTCTCTCTTCCTCTACCACCTCCGCCGCTGCTCGTCGTCACCGACCTCCAAATCCGAACCAAAATTCTCTCGCCATTGCGGGGATTGGAGCTCCAAGGGATAAGCTCTGCCTGCCCTAGGCGCCGCATGCCTCTCCTCCTCTTCCCCATCTCCCCTCCCTGCGTGCCCCCGCCGCGGCCCCGCCTACGCCGCCTCTCCCCGCCGCCGCCCATGGCGGCCGTCGCGCCGCCGTCGCTGAGCACGCCCGTGACCATACTCCCCTCCGTGTCTGTCGCCTTGCCCCCGCTTCCACCCCCTGCTACTGATGACTTCCACTGGCTCGACCTCTTCGCGTTCCTCAACTCCCCCGCGGATTCCTACCAGATTCCTGTGGAGGAGCAGGAGGTGGAGGTGGAGGTGGAGGTGGAGGTGGGGGTGGAGAGGGAGAGGGAGAGGGAGAGGGAGAGGGAGAGGGAGAGGGAGCGGGCGAGGAAGGCGGAGCACCGGCGGCTGCGGCAGCGGCAGGTGAAGGCGGAGACGGAGGCGTGGGCGCGGGCCGCCGACGAGTACCGGGAGCTCGAGCGGGAGATGCTCGACCGGAGGCTCGCGCCCGCGCTGCCCTACGTCAAGTCGCTCTTCCTCGGCTGGTTCGAGCCGCTGCGCGACGCCATCGCCCGGGACCAGGAGGTGCAGCGGCGGAAGCGGGTCAAGCACGTCTACGCCAAGTACCTGCTCCTGCTGCCCGCGGACAAGGTGGCCGTCATCGTCATGCACAAGATGATGGGCCTCCTCATGTCGAGCAAGGATGGCGTCGCCAGCGTCCGTGTTGTCCAGGCCGCGCACTGCATCGGCGAGGCTGTTGAACGTGAGGTGAGTGGTTCAGTTATAAAGTTTTAGGAGTAAATGCACGGCGATTTTGATACCATTCACGCACAACATGACAACAATGCCTCGTGATCAGGTGGCGATCAGTCACACTAGTGTATTTAGCACTTGACTGGCTATGGTTTTTCTGGTACTCGGCATAGCTGTTCAGGGATGTGTTTATGATTTTCATCTGATTGTCCAATAATTTGATCCAGAATCGACTCAACAACGTAGAAGCTTTGGACAGTTTAGCGCTTTATACAACTGATAGATGTGTTAGGAGTTGGAATGTATGCTCTCATTATCTTATCGTAATGTGATCATCATGTGAAGATGTTGAGACCTAAGGAAAAATTTGTTAAGACTCAGTAAGGTCTTATAAGTTGATGATAGCTGCGCTAACCACTATATAAGAGGTTTTCTTGTGGTGACATGGTTACAGATTGGATATTGTGTTTGAGATAATGAACTTTGCAATGGCAATCATGCAATGTTTAACTCTTGAGCATATATATAAATAACCAATGCTATGGGTGAACAAAGCTCCTGACGTGTTCAAACTGTAAAAGGAAGTTAGGGATTCTTCTTCCTGCTGAGTCAGATATTCATCTTCTGTGTGAGAGTTGTATATACGCTTCAATTCTGGTGGAACTCAGTACTATTGAAAATTCTTCTTTTTGGAATTTCGGTCTTCACCAAACAATGTAGCCTCTAGTGACAGTTGAGTTGACTGTGTGTTGAATGCTTTTGGTTTGCTTGTTCTGTAGTTCAAAGTCCAGACATTCTTTCAAAAGACAAGGAAGAAAAGTGCAGGTGAAAATGATTTGGCATTAGAGAAGGAGCAGGCCAAATGCCGAAAACGTGTTAAGAGTTTGGTTAGGAGGAGAAAGTTGACTGAAGCACAGAAGATTGTGCAACAGGAGATTGAATTGGAAGAATGGGGCACAGAATCCCAAGTGAAGGTGTTTTTTTGCCCACTACACCTGCAATCACAACCTTCTTGTCTTATGCATTGCAAAATCTTAACCCTCTTTTTGGTACTGCAGTTAGGGACCCGCTTGATTGAGTTGTTACTGGATTCAGCTTTTGTACAGTCACCAGCTGACCAAACACCAGAGAGTTCTCCAGATATTCGACCAGCATTTAAACACGTACTTCGACAACCTATAGTAGAAAATGGGTAGGGTAGCACGTTCTTCTCTACTGTTTACTTTTGTTGCAAATACTTGCATGTTGTGTCTGTGCAGAGTACTCACATCCACATTTCTATGATTATCATGTGCTTACTTAGATTGACGTAGATATTTTTGTGACATTTATGTTTGATGTGCAGGAGACTGAAGAAAAAGCACTGGGTGATAGAGTGTGACCCTCTTGTGCATGAGGGGTTTGAAAGCACTGTAAGTTTACTTTGCACCCCCTATGCAGGTTATTTTTCTTGATTGAAAGAACATCTGGCTCATTTATGTCTATCTTCCTGTACATGTTATGTGGATTTTCTCAATTGTGCCAAACATTTAGTGGACTTATGTTTTTATTTGGCAATTGTTTTGTCTGTGCAAATGATTTTTTTCAGATATACTTAGAGATTTGAATATGTTGCAGGCTAGGCACGTGGAGATACCCTATCTTCCTATGCTTGTGACTCCTAAAAAATGGAAGGGGTATGTTGATGATTCATTCATATGCCCTATCAGTTAGTTCTGTATGATGTTTATTATTTATTTCATTAACATGCGAAACAACCTATATTGGTTAAGATATTATTTACTTCCTGCATCTCTGCTCTGGTGATTTTAATTTGTCAGCCATATTTTGTTTCAGCTATGATACAGGTGGGTACCTTTTTCTTCCCTCATATATTATGCGGACACATGGCGTGAAAGATCAAAAGGAAGCCATTAAGAGTGTTCCGAGAAAACAGCTACGGAAAGTATTTGAGGTCAGCTGCCAGTGATTACCTATCTATTAGACAATCATGCACTTTATTCTGAACATGCATTTGTTGGCATAATGGCATCAATACATACCATGAAAAAGTATTATTCAAGCATTAATCTCCTCTGTCAGAACTCAGAAGCTAAAAGCATTTTATGCCTACTCGCCATGCTCTATTTATTCCATGGATGTTTATTCAATTGTGCATCCTTAATTTTTGAATGAACTGATGACGTATATCCGTCTGTGAGTTTGTGACAGCCTTCTGATTTCTCAAGTATTATCATATTGGCAGGCATTAGATACCCTTGGGAGTACTAAATGGAGGGTGAATAGAAGAGTACATAATGCTGTTGAAACTATTTGGAGTCGAGGTGGGGGCATTGCAGGACTGGTTGATAAGGAAAATGTAAGTAACTCAAATTGTTTAATGTTTGTTAATTCTGACATTACGAACAGTGTTTCATATTATGCTCGAGGCACATTGGACACATCTCTGTTGACATGCGATCTGTTTGTGCTTCTGTTTTTTTATAGATTCCTCTACCTGAACGACCAGAAACGGAGGATCCAGATGAAATACAGAAATGGAAGTGGAGCTTAAAGAAGGCAAAGAAAGCTAATCGTGAACTGCATGCTGAGCGATGCGATACAGAGCTTAAACTATCTGTACGTGACATAAATTTTCATTCTTTGTACCTTCAGATATTTCTTCAGTTTTTTTTTTCGTATGTTATGACACTACCACCTGTAAACAGGTTGCTCGGAAAATGAGAGAGGAGGATGGATTTTATTATCCCCATAATCTTGATTTTCGTGGCCGTGCATACCCTATGCATGCACATCTAAGCCACCTAGGTTCAGATCTATGCAGAGGTGTTCTAGAGTATGCTGAAGGGCGGCCACTAGGAAAGTCTGGCTTACGCTGGTTAAAGATTCATTTGGCTAACAAATATGGTGGAGGAATTGAAAAGCTTTCTCATGAGGACAAGGTAGCATTTGTGGAGAACCAGTTGCCTGATATATTTGATTCAGCAACTAATCCTGTTGACGGGAATTGCTGGTGGATGAATGCTGAGGATCCTTTTCAATGTTTAGCCGCATGCATGGATCTTTCTGATGCCTTAAAAAGTTCATCACCTCAGTGTGCTGTTTCTCACCTACCTATTCATCAGGTATTGCTTTAATATGTGGTGCATGTAAATCATGTAATATCCTTCATTCAGAGAGACATGTGAGGACCTCTGATCAGGTTATACTGGCTTGAAAGTAAAGTTGGTGGGCTTCTATGAATTCTCTATCAATTTGTTTCTTACTTTTTAGAGGGAATTGCCAGAATGTTAGATATACGAGCCTAGTGCTTCTCTTCAATGGCATAAGTAATAGGTCTAATAACGGGAAAACATGATTTTGTTGTACTTCGATGAAAGCTAAAACTGTCGACACAACACAGCAATATAATCTTTACTGCATAGTCATGCCAGGTTACTCTGACATTTAATTATGATAGCAATTGGTTTAATCTATTCTGCATGACCGGCATTTGCCTTGATATACTAATAGTTGGGTAACATCTCATCTATCAGGATGGTTCATGCAATGGTTTACAACACTATGCTGCTCTTGGAAGAGACTATGTAAGTTTTGTGCCCTGCTATGATGTATGAGCTTCATTCAGCTAACTTATTTTATCTAACTCAACTCATGACATGCTATAATAGAAGTAGCACTATCTGCTACTATGTGCTTATTTGTAATTGTATAGTCAATGGTAGTTATTAATTGTTGCATTGATAAATAAGTGCATTTGAATCTTCAATTATTTGTAAGATAGTCTTGAACAGAGAGTGAAGATGCTTCCTGTTTTGTGCTGATGAAAATCTTCCATCTGGCTGATCCTCTTGTTTTAGAGTGCAAACACACTATTTGGTGATATGTAAACTTGGTTTGTAGCTTGCATTATTGAGTGTTCTACTGTTCCGCAGATGGGTGCAGCTGCTGTCAATTTAGTTCCTGGAGACAAACCTGCAGATATCTACTCAGAGATTGCTGCTAGGTGAGTTCTCCTGCTAGTGTTCATTTTTGTTCGTTATTTCTTATGCATAGCACAGTCTGGGATATCCATTGTTTCCCTGCCATTATAGGTTGTTGCTTCTTCAGACCCTATAAATTTTCTATCATTAGGGATCAAGCAGCATGCTTCATCCCCAAAGTGTTTGTAGCTCAAAACTTCTTGCTATCAACCTCAGTTGTTGTGATCTCAATGCTGTACTGAATTTATTAAGTAGTAGAGGTATCTATTAAACTGTATTCTATCGTCTCAGGACTATTAGGAAATATACTAAATCACTTTTCACATGAACTTATCTTTTTAAAATCAAATCACAAAATATACTCCTTTGTTAAAACATGATTCCAAGTTCCAACCAGTGATGATGAGAAGAAATGCACTAACAACTTACATGTTTGGCTTCTGAAAATCAAAGTAGATAGATGCCCATGCATTATGTTGTGTTAAAAGAGCTTCTACAAAACATATTTAATCAATTCTTTTCTGCAATACTAAATTGCCACAAGAAACTTTTGAGTTGGTATTTTCCAAGCTACATAATATATTTATGTAACTTCCGTGCCATCTGATAATTCAATTATTAGCTATTGATTCTTGATTTCATGATGTATTGTCCTGATGCCAAGTGTGCTCATTAGTATATATATTAACGATGCTTTGACATGAACTTGTCTGAAGGGTGCTGGATGTTGTTCGGGAAGACTCGATGGAGGATCCTGCAACTAATCCAACTGCCTCATTAGCAAGGGTTTTAGTCGATCAGGTTAGCCTTCGCCTTCTCCCTTTCTGCTGCTAAATTCGAAGCCTTTTTTTCTTTCATGTACTTTCTTTAGCGAAACAATTGAGATCTACACTTTGGTAGCATACAGGTGGATAGGAAGCTTGTTAAGCAGACAGTGATGACATCAGTTTACGGTGTCACATATATTGGTGCTCGTCAACAGATAACAAAAAGACTACAAGAGAAAGGGCTCATTACAGATGACAAATTGTTGTATGAAGTGTCCTGCTATGCTACCAGGGTAAATGCTTTACTTGCATTTGACCTCCACTGATGTTTTTTTTGGGGTGTCTCCTTATTGATTGCTTTAGTAAGACAAGGGCATGCTTTGACTATTCATTCTCTGATGAAGGTAACTTTGGATGCATTAGGACAAATGTTCCAGTCTGCCCGTGGTATAATGGCATGGCTTGGTGATTGTGCAAAGGTACAGTTTTTCCACACCTAAATGAATTTATTTTCTCAGCTTCTTTAAATTTTGACTTAAGACATCTAGTTTTTGTGGCACTTTAACTTATCCTTTTACAAAGCTTCTCTAGAGCCAAACCTTCAAATATTTTTCACACTTGTGGACAAATGTTCCAGATGATTGCTTCAGAAAACCACCCTGTCAAATGGACGAGCCCCGTTGGTCTTCCGGTTGTTCAGCCCTACAAGAAATATAAGAACTACATGGTGAGATACTTATCAACAGGCAAACATGTGTGCTCTCTTCTTTTCTTTTTTTTTTCTTTTTTAGAAAAAAACTAGTCAAATACCCGCGCTTTGCTACGGATAAAAGAAAATAGTGTTACCCATCTTTTTGCTATAGGGAATATTCATCTTAATCTAATTTTTTATGTGGCTATCCATTTAGATTTGATCTTTTTTTTAATATTAAGAAGTTCAAGGGGTAACTTGCAATTTTACAATGTTAGTAGGTGGGGGTGGCAGATTCACTGCCACACCATTACCTTCTTTTAAAGGAGTACAGAAATCTGGACTAAGTAGTATTACCTGGATAATACGTGTTCTTCGATCTGCATTTCTGCAGTGATGCATTGTTTTATTACCATTCTTGCCTTTCCTGATACTTAAATCAAAATGGATTTGATTGATTGATTGTATATATGCCCAAATTCAAGGGCAGACATGTAAACGTTCTCTACGCATTTTCCCCTGATTTTTTTTAACAAATAAAGACTTAGGGTGCGATCGTTTCAGCTGTGGCGGTGGACTGTTTAGCCGCACGCAAAACGAGAAATGCGATTAGCATATGATTAATTAAGTATTAATATATATTTTTTTATGAATAAATTTGTTGGATTTTTTTAACAGCTTCTTTATAGAAAGTTTTTGCACGAAATATACCATTTAGCAGTTTGAAAAGCGTGCTAACGGAAAACGAGGAGAATCTAATCCTATAAGCTGAAAACGATCGCACCCTTAGTCTGTGGATTTTATTTCTGGGGCTTGCTATCATGGGTATGCTAAAATCGTTGTTGTCTGAAACTTGTGCCAGGCAACACTGGCAACAAGCAGGATTACCTTTCATTAATTTATGTAAGAACTGTCCATATTGTTCTGTCATATTTGTTTTCACCATTTTGTAAGCCTTTTGAAAGTTCACCCCGCATGAGCAATGGATATTTAGGAAGAACCAAGCAATCCGTGTTAATGTGTTCAATTAGTCCCATCCTCTTCTGTTCTTATGGATAACCACATTACCATGATAAGTTCCAATACTGTTATAGTTTTGCTGCATTGCCCCTCTCTGAACACTATATGCATCATCACTTCTCAGATTCGAACTTCACTGCAATGTCTGGCTTTACGACGGGAGGGAGATGCAGTAAGTAAAACCAATTTCTGGATTGATTTTTCCGTTCTTTCTTTCATTACTGCGATTAATATCGCTGTCACAATTTCCAGATTGCACTCCAGCGGCAAAAGGCAGCTTTTCCCCCAAATTTTGTGCACTCTCTTGATAGTTCACACATGATGATGACTGCTATTGCATGCAAAAAGGCTGGTCTTCATTTTGCAGGTTTGATCTGATTTACTGGTTCCATTACTATCAGAAATAATTACCAGTAACAGAACTTCCATAATTTTACATAGTCATTGCAGTGCAAAGTGCATTTAAGAGATTGAACTGCATTGCTATCTACACTTTTATCTAAAAATGGACACTGCTGCGCAAACCCCACATTTGAAGTATTCAAATTTTGTTCTCCTTGAACTTCTGGCAAATGTACCAGTGGTTCATCTTGACCTTGACCAATCCTGACAAAAGTCATTTAATAAGTACCTGCACGGCTGCAAATAATGCCTTTGCCTTCACATTATTCAGTCATTTTTTCTACATTCATGGGGAGACAAGCTGTCCTGTCATTTGTGATATGCAGTTGTCTACTTAGTTTTTGCTTTTATTTTGTAATAAGGTTGATTTAAATCAAAGGTCCTGATGGAACATGGATGGCAGATGCCATTTTATGCTTCTTGTTGACTTGATGTTAATATAGGGATTTATTCTGGCAAAAAGCGGTACTGTATTGTGTCCATGGTGATTGTTGGCCTCAAATCGTTTTCTGTGAATTGCACAATATTTTTTACTAAGGATCCCAGAATCTATATGTTTTTACCTACAATATATATAAGGATAAACATTAATCTCTTGAAAAAGATGTCAGGATTTCTGGATCGAATCCAAGCTCACTAAGAACAATCTATACTAATGATTCTTTGAACAGTGAACAGTTGATACTGATGATTCTTTGAACAGTGCAAGTATCTGGTCACAATATTTTCTTTAGGAGACATACCTGAATGACCACTAAAAAAATTTCTCAAGAAGTCTGTTTTGAATCCTAACTTGAGCAGAGCTGTACCTGGTGTTACTTCCATATTTGCAAATAATAGCACTTGAATCGTTGGAGTATATTGTATTTTATCTTTCATTCCATGAACCATGAACATCTATATAGCCAAAAAAAGAAAAAAAACTGAGAGTGAAGGAGCTGCCTCATATGCACTTATAGTATTTACATTTTATTTAGATAATGGAAGATTTTATTGAACTCATCCAATTACATCAAGGAATTACATCTGCACGGAGAAGCTTTTAGATACTATTTGCATTTCATTGTCTACATCTTTTGTGCAGTTCTAATCTATGTTGCCTTTTGTCCATGTACTTCGATGCAGGGGTGCATGACTCGTTTTGGGTGCATGCATGTGATGTTGATAAAATGAATCAGATACTGAGAGAACAATTTGTGGAGCTTTACAGCATGCCAATTCTTGAAAATGTATGCTAACAGGCACTATTCACTCAACAGTGTCTTCATTCTACACTTCACTTTAAACTCTACATGTGAGGATTACTTCCCCTAACAATTTATTTCTTTTCAATTTGAATGTTTCTTTTCAGTTGCTCAAGGAGTTCCAGACATCATTCCCAACACTAGAATTTCCTCCCTGTCCTTCACAAGGGGACTTCGATGTGAGAGAAGTTCTTGCTTCAACCTACTTCTTCAACTAAGCTTAATGGAAAAGTTTTGCACATTAGCACATACGCAGCAAGTCAGTAAGTTCGGCAGTAGCTGAATAGCCAGCCATATTGCTGATACCATGGTGATTTGGTGCCAAGTACGAAATGTGGCATAAGCATCAGAGAAGAGCAACACACCGTTGCAACTGCTGGGAGCCTGGAACAGTATATGGGTTTTTGTCATTGGCAAATCAGTTCCCCAGATTGCCGATTTTGGAGGAAGCTAAAAAGTTCCAAGAAACCTGAGCTGAAACAAAACCCAGTACTTCCTGCTGATGTTTTTAGATTCATGCAGGATCTACTAGGATTTCAGTTCAGGGAATTCACCATGCTACACCCAGCCAATGAAGGCGATTTTGCGACATAACAGGTTATCAACTACAGAATACTGATCGATACTAGTCCTGCTGACCACCCTGACCAATTTGATCATAGGCGACAGTTGAACCATAATTTCACTGTCTATACATGTAACATTATCTTTTGGCCTCTTAGGGCTATAATTATAGCCGATTGCTGTATCGGTGCGGTGACCTGGTAATAATGTGTAGAATAAAGTGCCAAAGAGAAATGTATACTAGTGTACATGATTGCTGGATGCTGTTGATAGCAAGCAACCTGAAAGAGAGAAATGTACATGAAAACGGCTCGATCTTGTCGATTCGTTCAAATATCTGCTTCCTTAGGTTCATTGCCAAAATAACTTTTTGTGCAGTTTTGTGGATAGAAGTTTCCGAAATTACCAAATTTAGGTAGGGACCGGGTGAGCTTACGATGGTGAAGTCATACAATTGTTTTGGCGACAAACTGAAAATCCTTAGGCCGAACATCACATCGAACTTTTCTGCAACCATAAACTTTCAATTTTTACAGCACATTGTTCAAATTTCAATCAAACTTTCAATTTTGGCATGGAACTAAACAAATAATTAGTCGCACCAAACTTCCAATTTTAGTGTGGAACTAAACACATAATTAGTCGCACCGTCGATCTCTCTCTGACTGGAGCTTGCTGTTTGCGCGCCGTGCATGCAATGGCCAGAGGCCGCGATGCAGCGTCCAGCCGTTCGAATTTTGATGCGATTTGTAGTTCGAACTAGTGCAGCGGTTCGAAATTCGAATCGCTCCGGCGAGTCGGCGCTGTAATCACAGCGCTCTGGCCCACCGAAGCTTCCAGATAAGGATCAGATTTACCGGCGTATCTTGACGGCCACGTCAGTCCCCCCGGTCCACCGGCCGATATATAGGCCGCCGCCGCCGACTTCGAACTTCCTCTCCGACTTGCAAGGCCATTTCACAAAATCACGCAAAGCCCATTTCAAGCCGATCACGAAACCCTAAACCCTCGGCCCTCGGGGCAATGTCGGCGGCGGCGGCGGCGGCGGGGGCAGCATGCAGGAGAGCGTCGTACACGCTCCTCGGCCCTCCGGTGGAGCGCCTCCGCGCGGCGGTATCGGCGACGGCGGCCGCGGCGTCCACCGGGGATCCGTTCGTCGACCTGCTCGACTCCAACTACAACAAGCCCAAGCCGACGCCGCCGGCGAAGCGGCTCACGGAGAATTACTCCCCGACGTTCGCCTCGTCGGGTGACCCCTGCCTTGACTTCTTCTTCAACGTCGTCCCCGACACCCACGCCTCCACCGTCACCAGCCTCCTCTCCGCCGCCTGGACCGCCGAGCCCAACACCGCGCTCCGCCTCGCCTGCAACCTCCGCGGCGTGCGCGGCACCGGCAAGTCCGACCACGAGGGCTTCTACGCCACCGCCCTCTGGATGCACGACCACCACCCCAAAACCCTCGCCCTCAACGCCCCCAGCGTCGCCGAGTTCGGCTACCTCAAGGACCTCCCCGAGCTCCTCCACCGCATCATCCATGGCGGCGTCTCCACGAGGACGCCACCCCCCGCCCGCACCAGATCCTACTATTCAAGCCGTCGCCCGAGGAAGGTGCGCCGCGACCCCGCCACGAGGGCGGCGCGCATCGCCGCCAGCCAGGAGAAACACCGCAAGATCTCGGATCAGGCCGCCGTGGAGCGCAGGAAGAAGCGCGCGGAGGCGGCGGCGAGGGCCGTCGAGATGTACGCCCGCGACCCCAAGTACCGCTTCCTCCACGACAGGACGGCGGATCTGTTCGCCGACCTCATCGCCGACGACATGCGCAAGCTCGAGGACGGCAAGGTGAACAACCTCTCGCTCGCCAGCAAATGGTGCCCTTCGCTGTACAAGTGCTACGACCGCTCCACCCTCCTCTGCGAGTCCATCGGCCGCCGCCTCTTCCCCAAGGGCTCGGACGCCGAGCTCCCGGAGGACTTGCCCGACGAGTACTACGCCTACCGCGTCCGCGAGCGTCTCCGCAAGATGGCGCTCGTGCCGCTCCGCCGCGCGCTCCATCTCCCCGAGGTGTACATCTCGGCGCGGCGGTGGGGGGACGTGGTGTACTCGCGCGTGGCCTCCGTGGCCATGAAGAACTACACGGACCTCTTCCTCGAGCACGACCACGAGCGCTTCAACCTCTTCCTCGCCAACGTCAAGACCGGCAAGGCGAAGATCGCCGCGGGCGCCCTGCTCCCGCACGACATCCTGGCCTCCGTCGACTCGCACGACAAGGAAGGCAACGAGGTCGCCAACCTGCAGTGGAAGCGCATGGTCGACGACCTGCTGGAGCTCGGCAAGCTCAACAACTGCCTCGCCGTGTGCGACGTGTCGGGCAGCATGAACGGCCGCCCCATGGACGTCTGCGTCGCGCTCGGCCTCCTCCTCTCGGAGCTCTGCGACGAGCCGTGGCACCACCGTGTCATCACCTTCAGCGAACGCCCCCAGCTGCACCACATCAAAGGCGAGACCCTGTACGAGAAGGAGGAGTTCATCCGCGAGATGGAGTGGGGCTTCAACACCGACCTCCAGGCGGTGTTCGACCAGCTGCTCCACGTCGCCGTCTCCGGCAACCTGCCACCGGAGCGGATGGTGAAGAAGGTGTTCGTGTTCAGCGACATGGAGTTCGACCAGGCGTCGTCAAGGGCATGGGAGACCGACTACGAGGCGATCACGAGGAAGTTCAACGAGGCCGGCTACGGCGGCGCGATCCCGGAGGTGGTGTTCTGGAACCTGAGGGACTCGTGCTCCGTCCCGGTGACCGGGAACAAGAAGGGGGTGGCGCTGGTGAGCGGCTTCTCCAAGAACATGCTCAAGCTGTTCCTCAGCGGCGGCTACGAGAAGATGACGCCGCGGGCCGTCATGGAGAGGGCCATTTCCGGCCGGGAGTACGAGAAGCTCGTCATGTTCGACTGATCTGATCGGTACGCATTAACCGAATGAATCCCCGTCGTTTTGCAGCGTCTCTGTTAGTTTAGCTTTGTGTTTTTCTCTTTCTGTTTGTCATCAAGGACGGCTTGGAAACGGAAATAAATCCTAAATTCTTAGCTTAATTTTTTTTTTGTTATAGATTTGCTTTATGTTTTTCAATGAAACTTAGAAATTTCATCCATTGCTTTGATCTGATTCCTGTTTCGATGCAAAGCTGCAAACCATATACTTTCTTGGAAGTGGATTTTGATCTCTCTGAGGGGATATTCCCTTGTTGTTTGCATGTCACTCGGTAATGAAAAAAATTGAGAAGATGTATCAACATGTGATATATCACTTTACAAATATGCAAGTAAAAGTTCAACTTCTACATCTTGCAATGAAAAAAAATTGACTTTAAATATACGTTAACTAGCTGGGTTTGATTTGTTTTTTTCGTTAAGATATATAGAAGTTAAATTTGAATTTGCATATTTGTGGAGTGTTATATCACATGTTAATACACCTTCTCAAAATTTTTCATAACCATTTAAGTGAAAGAGATTAAAATAGTTTCCCATACTTTCTGTGGAAAGTCCAAATACTGCATTCTTCAGTCTGAAAGAGATTCCTGGTAGCTGTTTGGTACTCCTAGACACTAAATCAGTATCGTTTTAGGTCTAACAATATTTGAGCAGAGAAGGTTTCAAAAAAAATATTTGAGCAGAGGCCAAATTTTGCAATTCACAGTGGCTGTATGCCTGTATCGCAAAATTGAAAATTGGATTGATGTTAGCCTTTTCCTCCCAAACAATGAGTCCATATGGGCCGCAAAGAATTGCAACCGCTTGTGTAATTAAGCCTCAAAAGTTTCGATTAAGTTGGAGGGCCAATTGAAATGCATTCTTAAGATTGAGTTACTATCAGAGCCTCGTATGCTTTCTTTTGCAATACAGTTTCTTTTCAAGGCTTGAAGCCCATCTTCTACATTCACATTCACAGTTTCAACCCAACGAACTTCTGATATGTCAGAGTCCAAAGAATCACCTGTGCTACGTCACATAAAAAAATAATGAAGGAATAATCAATGGCACGCACATACATACACATCCTGCCATGGCGGGTCACAAAAATGCCGCGGCGCCGCCGCCGGCGGCGATCGCCGCCTCGCGCCAGTCGATGAGGATGGCGGTGGCGGCGTAGTGCGTGAGCGCGCCGGCGAGCACGAGCACGTGGAAGATCTGGTGGCTGTGGCCGACGCAGTCGAACGCGCCCGGCCGCCACCGCTCCGGCACGCGCGCCACGTAGAACCCCGCGCCGGCGGCGTACACGAGCCCCATCACCAGCTCCAGCGACAGCGCCAGGTAGCACTCCGGGTGCCCCCAGTTGAGCCACAGCGCGTGCAGCGCCGGCACGACGCCGGAGAGCCCCATGGACACGAACAGCCCCGCGCGGATGTGGCGCAGCCGCGGCGACGACCTCGCCGGCGCCAGCAGCGCCGCCACCACGAGCGCGCCCAGCGCGGTGATCGCCGACAGGTACGCCACCTGCGCCACGGCCCGGCCGAGGAACGCGTAGTACACCGGCGGGAAGAAGGAGGCGACGATCATGACGGCGATGCCGGCGTAGTCCAGCTGCCAGAAGAGGCGGCTGAACCTGCGCGAGTGGCACGCCAGGAGGTGCGCCGTCGCGCTCACCGCCAGGCACGTCATGGCGCCCACCAGGAACACCGTCCGCGGCCACCTCGCCAGCGCATGTTCGCCGCCGCCCAACAACGCCGGCGAATCCTTCCCCTCCAAGCTCTGCACATACCAGATCAATCCCCACGTTATTCAAAGCATATAGTAGTTGCGAAACAGAGGAAATTAGTATATGGCACGTTATTCAAAGTATGGTTGCGAAACAGAGGAAATCCATTATATGGCACGTTATTTAGCCCCTTTGATTTGGAGGAAAATCTTAGGATTTTTGGAGAATTTCAATCCTACAGGAAAATTTCCTATGGAACCCTTTTAAACAAAGGATTGAATCATATCCAATGCTTTGAAATTCCTATGGGATGAACAATCCTATAGAGATTTTGAAGGAAATTTAGCAAGAGCTCCAACCTCTTGTAAACTTTCCTTTGAGTCTATCTCTCATTTAATTCCTGTGTTTTTCCTGCGGTTCAATCAAACGGTCATTCATGTGTTTTCCTGTGTTTTACAATCATCTGTTTTACACTTACATTCCTATCAAAATCCTACATTTTTCATATTTCTACGTTTTCTCAATCCTACGATTCAAAGGGGCTCTCAAAGTATGGTTGCGAAACAGAGGAAATTATATGGATTTTGCTGGAACAGATGCATTTTGTTTCTTGTCAGAATGCTATACATTTAAAAACGACAAGATTCTGCAATTTTGCAAGTTGGTGCTCAAGTCTGCAACAATTGGCTCCATTTGGTTGTTTAATTTTTCTTTTCGGGAACGTCATTTGGCTGGTTGTAATTGCATCAGATCTATATCTAGGTAGGGTAGGAAGGAGACGAATTTTTTAAAAATGGTCCTGAAGAACAATGCACACTGTGGTACTTTCCTGCCTGCCTGATCAATCAGACAGAGATGCATCTAATCTAGGACCCAAAATTCAACTAACCTTCACTAATAATCGCCACCCCTTATAATAATTGCTTTTAAAATCTCACCATTTCATCCTAACACTTGCCTAGCTGTCGTCCAGCTCAGTGAGTTGCCAGCCTAATTTCTTTTGTCACTATACTACACATCATGCCCAAGTGCATGTAACGTTGTGGCCTGTTGTTCTGCTTGGATGTATACAGCTAACGGCTTTGTGTTTTTATATACGCAATTCTATAATTCAGAGGGACAGTGTTGAACTGGATGTTGGTAGGTAGGTCGAGACTTTGAAAGATTCTTCTCGGTTAGTGGCTACCGATGTCTTCACAGCTGGAACACTACAAGAACTTAGCTACAGTTCAGTTCCTTTTTTCTTGGAATTATAATGTTCTGGGGTATGATGTATTGATATATTTTGTCGATTTTTCGCCAAAAGAAAAGGGATAGGTGAACAGAAATTTGTGCTCTTTTGAATGCAATCCGATGATTTAATCAAATTCAGGAGTACAAACAGCGAAAGGAATACTAGTACTGGTCAAAAGTTGAAGAAACGTTTCAAAGATTTGTTCGCTTACCGTGCTATTGGTCTCCCACGACGCGTTGTTGGCTGATGACGCCACCAAGAACGTCATGATCCCCGGCGCGGCGTTGACGCCCGCCGCCGCCGCGGCCGGCCGCTCCGTCCCGCCGGCGACGGCGAGCCATAGGAACAGGAAGAAGCCTCCCAGATGGCTGCAAGAGAGAGAAAGAGGAAGAAACGTCAGCCAACCGATGGAGCTCTCCATGGAGCAAGAAGAGGGGAATTGGAGGAGGAGGAAGCAGCAATGGCGGGCGGCGGCGACGTACGTCCAGACGTTGAGGGTCTCGTTGTGCCAGGCGAAGGCGCTGCGCAGCGCGTCGCGGACGGACCACTCGCAGCGGTAGTGCCCCCGGATGAACTCGTTGTCCTTCAAATAGTCCGGCAACTCCTCGAACCGCACCAGCCGCGGCAACCCCCCCGCCGCCGCCCCCACCTTCTTCCCCGGCGCCGAGGACGACGACGACGACGACGACAGCGCCACGACCTCCTCCTCCTCCTCCTCGGCGCCGCCGCCGGCGCAGCACCACCCTCCGCGGTGGCGCCGCCGCGCCACCGTGTTCGCCGCCGCCGCCGCCGCCGTCTCTGTCACGGTCGTCGTCATCGTCGCCATCCCAAACAAGCGAAGCTCACGACGGCGAAGTCACTCACGCTCACGCTCCCCGAACCGCCCAGCCGAAGCCGAGGCTTTATATAGAGCGAAAGACTCCCAACTCCGAAATCTCGATGGCGCGCGACGACACGGAGCCAGACAGCCAGCGAGCGTGCGTGCGTACTGTCTCCCCGTCGGATCACTCGGATTCGGCTCGGGCTCGAGTCGTGGTGTGTGAGATTTCACTCGCGAGCGCGTGGGATTTATGGCGATTGGCGAGACGACGCGAACGGAAGGTTGGCGCGCGGCAGGTGGTGGTGGTGCCGTGCGTGCGTGCGTCGCGCTCCCTCCCTCTCCCCCACTGCGTTTCGTTTCTAGACGGGTTTGAACTATTGGAAGCTTTGACGTTTGACTCGACGACGCGATGGACTGCGAGATTTGCGTTGATTTGCGGGGGGTTGCGACTTGTGTTGTGGTCGTGGACTTTGGGACGTGGGGGTTGGGGCGTTGGGCAAACCGGTCGCCGGAGCCGCGAACGGGTGGAGAATGGTGGGGGCCGTGGGCGGCTATAGCTGCAGCCTGCGGTAGCGTGGGGTGGGACCAGGTATAATAGTAGACTATAAATCAGTTACAAAGATATATCGGTGAGATAAAATAAAAAAGAAAGGAGTAATAGGCTACAGATATATAGCAAGCTACAGCACGGGCTCTAAAACACTATGACAGGTGGGACCATATATTAATAGTGTAGTATATGTTCATAGATAACTATTACTCCCTCCGTTTCGAAATGTTTGACGCCGTTGACTTTTTAATACATGTTTGACCGTTCGTCTTATTTAAAAATTTAAGTAATTATTAATTCTTTTTCTATCATTTGATTCATTGTTAAATATATTTTTATGTAGGCATATAATTTTACATATTTCACAAAAATTTTTGAATAAGACGAACGGTCAAATATGTGCTAAAAAGTTAATGGTGTCAAATATTTTAAAACGGAGGGAATATATAAATTAATTATAAATGATTTAAAATTAGTAGTTGGCTGTACTATTAAATTTGCTCTGAGTGTGAAGACGAGACACGGCAGGCACAACCGCGGTAGCGGAGAAGGTTCTGAATTTCTGATGTGCGGCGCGGCGTCTGGCACGGGCACGTTTCTGTGGTTGATCCCTTTTGTCCGGGACGGGGTTGGCACGGGCATGTTTCTGTGGTTGATATCCTTGTTCTGTACTACGGTTGGCACCTGGCACGGGCACGTTTTTGTGGATTGAAACGAGCACAGGTGTCGTTCGAGCTGGGACAAATTAATGGCCGAGTAGGCGGGCAGGCAGGCAGGAAGCGGGCACTACAGGTGGACAACTTCTCCATCTGTGCGTGCACACTGCCACAACATGAATTTTTTTAAAAAAATTGCGTTGCTAGCGTGTTGAGACTTTTGGATCTCGGATGAGAAATCATCAAAACGCAAATTCCGTAAGCAAGCTTCGTTGATATACCACTCTTTAACACAAGGTTACAACCTACTCCCTCCTTTCAAAAAAAACGAATCTAGATTAGATATGACACATTTTAATACAACGAATATGGATAGAGATATGTCTAAATTCATAGTACTAGAATATATTACATCCAGTACAAGGTTGGCTTTCTAGGGACGAAGGAAGTACATGCTAAAATGTTACGTATTCTGGAGCTTCTCCGTCCACCTTCCTTTAGCACTACTAGCACCTTCCATTGGCCTCCTTCAACTCAATGGCTCGGAGGGCAATGACGATGAGCGCCCGGATCTGATGGAGAAAATAAGGGAAAGAGGAGAGAGAGGGAGTGGGAAGGGGATAGAGGAGTATTACATGTTTTACTGATATCTGGGTCCTACACGTTACCCAACAAGTTAACTTGCCACGTTTAGCAGAAACTGCTTCCCAAACAATTGATGGAGTCGATTTACATCAGGTTTTAAACATGGGGGGACACATTATACACCGTTTTGCAGTTGACGGAGATGATTAAATCCGAAGGAAGATATGGGACGCAAAATAGACTTATTTTAATCCGCAAACACTAGCTGCACCGCACCCAAATAAGAAATAAGTTCACTTTAGGTCTCTCAATTTATCGCCGAGTCTAAAGTTCTAGTATGCATCTCTTATTTCTCAATCATATATGGTATTACGGTTCAGTGATGAAATTTAGATTCGACGATAAATTGGGAGACCCAAAGTAAACTTATTCACCCAAATAACGGGGAACAAGCTACTGGGCCACGCGGCTCGTAATTAGGTACGTCTGGGTCCATGTTAACTGGCTCCATACAATCTCATTTGCCAACTTTATTGAACCAGATGTACTACACATTTGTGTGCGCGCGTACTCATCCGTTCTATAAAAAACCAACTATATCTACTATGGATCCGGACATATCTATGTCTAAATTCGTTATACTAAAATATATCACGTCTGATACTAGATTTATTTTGAATTTTTACTGGGACGAAGGGAGTACGTGGTTTAATATGGTACACAATAAAACTCGCCTATGCATGATGAGCTTGGCCGCCGCACTCGTGACGCAGGTAGAAGCGGTAGAGGTCCTGGATGCCGTCGCGCAGCGCCACCCTCGGCTCCCACCCCAGCTTCCTCATCCTCCCGCTGTCCACCACCCGCCGCGCCACCCCCTCCGGCCGCGCCGCGTCCCACGCCACCACCCCCTCGTACCCGACCACCCCCCTCACCGCCTCCGCGAGCTCCCTCACCGTCACCTCCTCCCCGCTCCCCACGTTCACGTGCTCCTCCCCGGAGTACCTCTCCATCAGCACCACCACCGCCTCCGCGAGGTCGTCCACGTGGGTGAACTCCCGCGCCGCCGCGCCGCTGCCCCACACCGCCACCTCGCCGGCGCCCTCGAGCTTCGCGCGGTGGAACCGCCGGATCAGCGCCGGGATGACGTGGGAGTGTTCCGGCGGGAACGGGTGGCGCGGCCCGTACAGGTTGTTCGGCGCCGCCGCGATGGCGTCCAAGCCGTACTCGGCGCGTACCGCCTGGCACATCTTGATCCCGGCGATCTTCGGGATGGCGTACCACTCGCTCCCCTCCGCCGGCGGGCCGGTGAGGAGGGCCGACTCCGGCGTCGGCTGCGGCGCGTCCGCCGGGTAGATGGTCGAGCTGGCGAGGACGAGCAGCTTGCGGACGGAGCCGCAGCGGCGGGCGGCGTCGACGACGTTGACGGTGATGCGGAGGTTCTCCGTCAGGTACTCCGCCGGCGCGGCGGAGCTCGCGTGGACGCCGCCGACCTTCGCCGCCGCCAGGATCACGTACCGCGGCAGCTCGGCGGCGAAGAACGCCTCCACGGCGGCCTGGCACGCCAGGTCGAGCTCGGCGCGAGTCCTGACCACGACGTTGGTGAACCCCAGCGCGTCCAGCTTGCGGTGCACCGCCGAGCCGACCATGCCGCGGTGGCCGGCGATGAAGACCTTCGCCGACTTGTCGCCGAGGAAGGATACGGCGGCGGCGTCGCCGTCGCCATCGGCGTCCCCGGCCTTCGCAGTGCTACCACTGCTGCTGCGCTGCTGAGAAGGCATGGTAGGTAACAGTGAGCTCTACCTAGCTAGCTTCAGGTGTTTTTTTTAGGGAAAGCTTCAGGTGTTTTGTGTTTCTCTAGTGCACTTGGCCTTAAATAGAAAACGAGGTGTGCACTGTGCACGCAATCTATGCATGCCGTTGCTAGTATTTTCCTACTCCCCCGTTTTATATTGTACGTTGTTTTTCTTTTTTTTAAAAAATAATATTTTTACATTTAACTAAATTTACATAAAAAATTACTCGTAGTAACATATCTACGACATACTCCCCCCGTCCCTAAAAAAACGTGATGTGACACGTTATAGTATAACGAATCTCGACAGGTGTATGTCCAGACTCGTAATATTATGATGTGTCACATCCAGACTAAGTTGGTTTTATGTGACAAAGGGTGTAGTGCCGTAAATTAGTTTCATTAAATATTTTTTAAAATTATTTTTTTGTTGAAAATGTTATTAGATTTTTTTGTATATTTAATGAAATTTTAAAAGGATTAGCTAGAAAAAATAAGTTGATACACTTAACACGACAGATAGCTAGCTCTTGCGAGGCTGATAGCCATTCACCACAGGATAGGAGCTCTATACATTGCCAGAGTATGTTGTTTCAGATTTCTTTTGGCGCAAAGTAATTACGCGTGTCCTTATATTACATACGTCCATGACAGCCACCTCTGCCTGCCCCCGTGTCGAGTGTTGATTGCGTGAGGACCTTACACGAACTCGGTAATATGGACCTTTAGGCTAATTTTTTACTTGTATTTTTTTTAAAAAATAATGCTTGCATAATTCGGATAAAGATAAGCTTTTCATGATTTGCTTGTTGGTTTTATCGTCTGGTCTATTAATTCGTACGAGTCAAGCGCATGTATATTATTCCCCCGTTTTAGCTTATAAGACGTTTTGATTTTAATCAAAATTAAATTATTTTAAATTTAACTAAGTTTATAGACAAATATAGTAATATTTATAATACTAAATTACTTTCATTAAATTAATAATTAAATATATTTTCATAATAATTTTTTCTACAAACTCAAAGCAGTTTGACTTGAAAACGTTTAATAAACTGAAACAGAGGGAGTAGTATATATGTATGGTGCTACATGTGCATTGGCTTAGTAGTTATTTTTTCTCAAGGTTACAACATATGTGTATACTTTATGCATCATATACATATATTAATCATGCATAAATGAAAAAAACAACTAATTACAAGGCGCAAATATTTGCATGTGGCAATATTAATAGTGCCATGTGATTGGTTTGATGGGGATATATAGTACTAAGGCTTCTTCAAATTGATGTCATTTCAAACCATACCATTTTTTATATAGAGTTGCCAAATATGTGTATCCATTTAGTTTCTTGCCAAACTTTAGTAAATATATAAAAAAATCCTGCTAAAATTTTAGCATTAATGAAATTTGATAAGATTTATTTTGGCTACAATCTAAACAGCCCTGAATAACGAGTATCACATGGGTATGTACAAAGCTAGCTTACATCGGAATAATATTCCCGTGTACAAAAATATAAACTTCAGCGGTTCAAAATTTACCCTAAGTATTTAGAGTTTGAAAAGTACTTATCCTATACGCAATAATTATGTGGATGATATGTTTCAAACAAACAATATCATGAGTCACCCGACGACGATGTCCTAAGAGGTACGTGTGTGGCACACACTAGCCGCATTGCTCGTGTTCACAACATAATTCACGTGTTTCGATGTGGATATTCACATGATTTGAGGTAGATATATGTGTCGGTTTTAGCGATAGCTATCTATATCCGCTGCCTAAGAGCAAGGCTAATAGTATAGCCGATCTGTTGGCTGTAAGATTTTTTTAGCCTTCTTTCAGCCTACTCATATAATAGTTAGCTCTTTATAATTAATACATGGCCCACTTGTCTCTCTCACAGAGTTTCTTGGTTCTTGTGTCCAAGCCGGCTGTAAGTTTACAGCCCGCTTCTCCTCTCTCTCCTCTCTTCTCTCCTTCACCTCAGCATTTAGCTGTCTTATAGCCTACTACTATACTTGCTCTAACACCTTGCCATAAATAAGTAGTGTTTGCAACGGATACCTCGCCATAAATAAATAGTGCTTGCAACGGATACGGCACCGTACGTAGATATAATGTCATTCATTCCTGCAAAGGGCCCCAATTGGGGGCGGTGCAATGCAAGCGTGTCCACGACAGCTACCTATCTGAGGGCGGCTGGCTGGTGTGTACTGTATTACTCCCTCCGTTTCGTTTTATTTGACACTGTTAACTTTTTAGCACATATTTGACCACTCGTCTTATTTAAAAAATTTAAATAATTATTAATTCTTTTCCTATCATTTGATTCATTGTTAAATATACTTTTATGCATACGTACAGTTTTATATATTTGACAAAAGTTTTTGAATAAGACGAACGATAAAAATAGAATAAAAAGTCAACGGTGTCAAATAAAATGAAACGAGTATATCAGGGAATGAAAATTGAAAGCAAAGGGGATGCTCTCTGCTGCACCTTTGTGAGACCACAGGGGCAAGTGTATTGATTGTATGTATGTACATCGTCGGACGTTTCCGAAATCTGAAGAGGGCAATTAACGACGAGCAGACGTGTATGTGTATATATGCATTAGGCCACTGGTGAAGAAACCATCTTTGGTCAGTCGACCAGATTTTACAATAGTCCTGGTTGTATTAAAAACCGAGACTAAAAACATCTTTAGTCCTGGTTTGAAAGCTCCATGCTACTTTTCAATCTTTAGTCCCGGTTGGTATTACCAACCGGGAAAAAAGATCGTCATACGCTTTACTCCTGGTTGGTACCACCAACCGGAACTCCCAGTTGGTAATACCAACCGGGAAAAAAGATCGACGCGGAGATCGGAGAGGCATGCGTGATCGGATCGAGGTATTTCCTTCTCTCCTTTAACTCCTCTTTCCTCCTCTCCTCAACCTTATTTCTTCCTCTCCTCAACCTTATCTTCCTCTCCTTCTCCTCTCCTTCTCTCTAACAGACCGAGGGCGGTCGGGCGCGGAGGCCCGGCCGGCGCGGCGCGCAGTGAGGCGGCGGCCGGCGCGAGGGCGGCGGGGCACGGCAGGACCTCCGGCCGGCGTGGCGGCGGCGCGTCGCGCGGTGAGGCGGCGGCCTGCGGCGGCAGCCGGCGCGAGGGCGGCGGGACGCGGAGGCCCGGCCGGCGCGGCGGCGGCTGGCGGCCGCGCGGCGGCAGGGCGCGACGGGTCGGCCGGCTGGCACAGCGGCGGCTGGCGGGGCGCGGCGGCGGCGCGTCACGTGGTGAGGCGGCGGCCTGCGGCGGCGGGGCGCGGAGGGCCGGCCGGCGAGGCGGCGGATTTTTTTTTTTTTTAAGAATCTGAGATTGTTGTGTGATGTATTTGATTGGATCTGATTGTTGTGTGATGTATTTGATTTGTGTGTGATGTGAATATTTGATAATTTTGTAGAAGTTGTAATGTAATTTTTTTTGAGATTTTGTGATGTATTTGAGTATTTAAGATGATCGATTGTGGATTTGGAAGCAATTTGAGAATGATTGATTTGTGATTTTGAGGACGGGATTGATTTGTGATTTTGATTAAAAACAATGAAGAAAAGAAAATAATAAAGAGCAACCGGATCTAGTCTCACCAACCGGGACTAAAAATGGATTTTTACTCCCGGTTTTTTCAACCGGGACTAAAGATAGCGATCTTTAGTCCCAGTTGGAAAACCGGGACTACAGGGGGTTATGAACCGGGAGTAAAAACCCTTTCTCCACCAGTGGGCTGAGCGCGGTTTATAGCGGATCGCCCTAGCTCGATGCCTTCCCGGCCATGAACCGATCGAGTGGCGCAGAACGAGACGCGCGCGCGGATCATCGCGGTTCATCTCATCGCCATCAATCGATCCGCGACCCTTCCCGGGGGCAGTTTTGCGGTCGACAAATTTTCTCCCCAAAAATTAACATACGTAAGAATAATACAATAGCAGTATAATTATATTGTAACTTGTATGTAACTATATATAATATAATTGGTATGTAAATTTTATGTAATTTTAAAACGGTTAGATTTGCATTAAAATTAGCGCAAGCGGGAAAGAAAAAAAATCACAACACATATAAGTGAGGGGATTTGGTCCTCTAACCTCCGTTTCGTGAAAATAGCATTTTTATCGCAATAATTTGTTTAAAGTTATATACAGGTTGTACAATAGTTATATATAAATGCCACGGATGCTCGCATTTACGGCTAATTATTCTTTCAATGGTAGGTGACTTATCCATCGACAGCAAGACGTCCATAGTGACATTGTCAATTTCAAGATTTGTCAACCCATTCTTCTCGAGGTACTCATAGGGGTAGAGTGTACGTGCGAGCATGTGCATTCATATGGGTGAGTGTGCACGTGTTGTGAGCACATGTGATTGTACTGTGTATATAAAAAAACAAAAAAAATAATAATATAATTTACAATATGATTTTATTATATTTATATCTGTTAAATTTTCGACATAAAATTATTGAGAAATGTATAGATAGTCTTTCCAGTGGTATCTGTCGTATTCTCCCTGCTAAATCGGTGGAATAAGTTCACTTGACTCTCTTATGCCATTCCTAACCCAATGACTAGGATGGTGTCCATAGCATTAAATAAGTTACCACATATGATGAAAAATGATGTGGCAAGTGAATAAATGAGGAAAGAGAAGGAAACCATGTCTTGCATGAGACATGGTTTCTACACAATATCCAAGATATCATGTGAGATAAGTAGCATTAAATTTAAGTATGGAATAGTGATTTTTGTATTGGAAGAGTAGTTTCTAGTACTAGTTTTTTGATGATGTGGAATTTATGGAAACTATGTCTAGTGTCTTGGATTGGGAATGGCCTTAACTATTAGTCGAATCTAATTCATATCCCTGAACCACAATACTGGCTATCTTGACTCCCAAATTTATTAAAATCAGTGTAATTTGACTCCGTCGACGGTTTTAGAGAGCGATTTCGCTGACGTGGTGCTTTGACCCGGATGAAGTGGCTGACTCAGCATGTGAGACCCACCTCTCGATGTCACATTTTTCCCATCCCTTTCTTTTTCCTCTTCTTCCCACACTATCCCACGGCGACCTGAGACGGATGCGGATCGGCGATGGCGCCGTGGCCCAAGGAGGAGCGGTGGCTAGGCTGTCCGCATCGAGGCGGCGGCGGCTAGCGCCGTCCTGCTTGCTACCACCGGCCGTCATCTTGCTTTTGCCACCACACCTGCAAGTACGGCGGTGCACACACCTTCGTGGTGAGGGAGCCTCGTAGTAGCCGACGACGGATGTCAGCGACATCATGCTGCTCCCCAACCACATCCCATTGCTGCTGTTGGAGAAAGCGGATGGAGATGTTCCTGTAGGTGTGGTTGTCCCGCGGCGACATCACAGCGCTCCCCGACCGCATTCCGTCGCCGCCGTGGGATGAAGCAGATGGATCGAGTCGCTCACCGCCTTGATCTACCCCACCTTTGGCAAGAGGATTGAGGTGGTGCAGGACGCAGCAAGTGGCATGAGGAGATCCGCGGAGGAGGTCGGTGGCTTTGTCGATTAGGCAGCCGCTTGACCTCCTCCCCCTTGCCGCTGTCAAATTCCCCTCGCCCGCCAAGAAGAGCGTCGCGTCGTGCTTGCCGGCGCCGCTGGTCTGGATTGCCTATCCCCAGGACAAGCAATAGTGGCGGCGCATCGATGGGAGGAGAGGTCGACGTCCTCTCCCTCGCCCACCAAAGTAGAGTGTCGCGTCGTGCTCGCCGTCGCTGCCGACCTAGATCGCCTATCCCCAAGATGAGCAGCAGCTGCGGGAGAGGAGGCCGACGTCCTCCCCCTCGCCACCGCCAGACACCTCTCGTCCGCCGAAGAAGAACGTTACGTCCTGCCCGTCAACACTGCGGTCATGGATTGTTCCCTTGAGGCCGCATCATTGCTAGCGTGCCGGCCTTGGCAGCGATGTGGAGGTTGCTTGCACAGTCGGGTTAGAAAGAGGAGAAAAAGGAGAGAAGAAAGAGGGAAGGAAAAAAAAAGTGATATTGACATGTGGGTCCTACATGCTGAGTCAGCCAGTTGAACTAGGTCAAAGCGCCATGTCAGCGAAACCATCGAGAGAGTTAAATTGTACCGACTTTAATAATTTAGGGGTCAAAATATCTGGTATTGCAGTGATATGGATCAGAATCGACCATTAGTTAAGAGACTTAAAGTGAACTTATTTTTAAATCGGTCACTTATTCCTAAATTTTGCCGTGAAAGAGGCCCAATACTGAGTGGGCTTGTGCTCGGCTCGGCGCCTAGGTGGATCATGAGGGCGGCGGGCTGCACGGGCCGCTTCGTCGAGTTAGGTTGCGCAGTTCGGACGAGACTTGGCCCAGGAAACGCGGGGCTTCAAGTCGAGGACGCATCGTGTCAGATGGGCCTCAGAGCCTTCGGAGGCTATAGGACTTATTTGTGGAGAAAATGGGAGTGCGTGCGTTTCGTCGTGGGATTTGCCGATTTCGCCCGTTTCGTGTGGTCGTCGAAGCATTCGTGTGCGAGTTTCCGAGGCGCTGACTCGCTCCATCGATCACTGGTACCGATGAAAATGAAATTGGAGTAAAACGTTTCTTGGGCCAATCCTTCAAGCAAAGCTACTCAACTTATGCACATGAAATTAAAGTGTTACTCCTACATGAAAGTAGTAGTACCGTGTGTACTAGGGCAAATCAAAAGGTAAAAAAGAAAATACGACAACGTCAATTGTGAGTGGTAGATCTAGAACACTCGATGTTGGATACCAGATGGGTTATACTCCGGAGTAATTAGTTGGAAATGATTTCGTGGAACGGATGGGAAAGTGGCGTGGGCGTTTCAGCGTGGCAAAGTGCCCAAGTGCATCGTATGGTACATTTGACAAGTCACAAGTCAATGGATCCATGGGTTATTCTTTGGATCGTGCGCGGCACGCACGTGGTGGCAACTTCCGCACAACTCAAACGACGGTGATATACTAGCTAGGGATAAACTGGATGAGTAATGGTTCCCATCTAAGGGAGATCGGTAGAGCAATTAATTAGGTGCGCCAATTTCCTTATATTCTCCATCAACGGACTTCATGAGAATTGTTTGTAAAAGGTTTATACATATAACTTTTTAAAATAATTAAAACAAATGCATTTTCTGATTTCTCAGTGGTTTAGCACTCAATTAGTCATGTGCTAATGGCTTATATCATTTTGCTGGTCGTCGAAAACACCAGCCTAGCTAACACCACATCCGAACTTAGCCTAAGTTTTTTCTTTTACTTTTCTTCTCATTTTATAAGATTCTATCAAGGCTGTGTTTGACTGCAGGGTGCAACAGATGTGACACAGCCAGCTCTACAGAATACCGTTCCATATATTGTGCCGTAGCTGCATTAGTGTAGCCGAACAAGGCTCATTCTCTAATATCAACCATTGGATTTTTAGCTAAATGTGAAATCATTTTTTTTCACAAAGAGATCACATCATTTTTTTCTTTAAAAAAAGCCATAGATTTCCAAACCATTTTTACGAAAATCAAGGCACAATTTAAAACATATTATTATGGTATAATTATTTTTTTAGTAAATAAACAAAAAAATCTAAAAAGAATCCAAGCAATGTAGTAGATTTTTTTTGTTAGAAAATGTTTTTTAAGTGTGAATGAAATAATCCATGGCAATAATCCAGTAAAGTTGTAAAAAAAATTTACGTTCTACGAAGTGAATGTAACTTAACTGGTTAGGTACATGTAGTGGAAGCAATACATCTAGATTCAAATTCTACATTTGACATGGGTACTCATATCTATGGCAAATTATTACGTAACATCGCGAGGAGGCATGACTAAATCTTGTGAACATCTGCGTTTGTATTATGTTTCTTAAAAAAAAAGTTTCTAACAGCTTTATTAGTACATCTAAACGATTCAAAATCACAAGTAGGAATTCTTAAAACGTTATCTTAAAGAAAAGGAATTTCCACATTATCACTGAAGTCGCTTAGAACAGTGTCCATTCAGAACTCAAAAGTAGTCGAAACTCCAAACCCCATCCGCCCCCGTACTAATAGCCCCCAAATCCCCGTACGCGAATCGCATCTCCTCGTCTCCGGCGGCCGCGGCGATCAACTCCGGCGACATGGGCACCGTCACCACCGCCGGTAAGCCCCCCGACGCCGCACGCGTCCTCTCCTCCTTATCCTCTTCTCTCCACTCCCTTCCTCTCACCCCGTTCCCTGCAGATCCGCACGCCTCCTTCCTCGCCGACAAGGGCGGCAAGGTGTTCGTCGCCGGCCACCGCGGCCTCGTCGGCTCCGCCATCCTCCGCCACCTCGTCTCCCTCGGCTTCACCAACGTGGTCGTCCGCACCCACGCCGAGCTCGACCTCACCCGCCAGTCCGACGTCGAGGCCTTCTTCGCCGCCGAGCTCCCCCGCTACGTCGTCCTCGCCGCCGCCAAGGTCGGCGGCATCCACGCCAACTCCACCTTCCCGGCCGACTTCATCGCCGCCAACCTCCAGATCCAGACCAACGTCGTCGACGCCGCGCTCAAATGCGGCTCCGTCCGCAAGCTCCTCTTCCTCGGCTCCTCCTGCATCTACCCCAAGTTCGCGCCGCAGCCGATCCCGGAGAACTCCCTCCTCTCCGGCCCCCTCGAGCCCACCAACGAGTGGTACGCCGTCGCCAAGATCGCCGGAATCAAGATGTGCCAGGCTTACCGCATCCAGCACGGCTTCGACGCCATCTCGGCCATGCCCACCAACCTCTACGGCCCGCAGGACAACTTCCACCCGGAGAATTCACACGTCCTGCCCGCACTGATCCGCCGGTTCCATGAGGCGAAGGCGTCCAATGCCGCGGAGGTTGTCGTCTGGGGCACTGGCTCGCCGCTGCGTGAATTCTTGCACGTCGATGACCTTGCAGATGCGGTGATCTTCTTGATGGATCACTACTCGGGGCTGGAGCATGTCAATGTAGGAAGCGGGAGCGAGGTGACGATCAAGGAGCTCGCGGAGCTGGTGAAGGAGGTGGTTGGGTTCCAGGGGAAGCTGGTATGGGACTCTAGCAAACCCGATGGCACACCGAGGAAGCTCATGGATAGTTCCAAGATACAGGAGATGGGGTGGAAGCCCAAGGTCCCCCTCAAGGAGGGGCTCGTCGAGACATACAAGTGGTATGTCGAGAATGTCATCTCTGCGAAGAAGTAGCGCCGTGATGATGATGGCATGTTGTTCTCAATATCTTCTGGCGCCTTTTAAGTTGGTATTACAGTCAATAGTTTTCATGTTGTTGCTGGCTACTAGATCATACAATTATCAGTTATAAGCTCTCCCACAAAGAAGAGGTCGTTATGTTGGTTGAATAATGTGGGGTCAAACTAGTATACAATTAGAATCTTAATTGATCTAGAACAATTTCTGTCGATTAGAGAAAGTTTCACACTTTGCAATGTTTGATGTCAATTGGCCTGAAAAAGTTTTACACACACGGAATAAGTAAGCTATGTTTTGATTTATGAAATAATTTTATCTGTTCAGAACAGTTTCTATGCTTTGTGCCCTTGTTTTGTATGCTAATTATGGTTGGGAGGTGAGAGGAGATATTAATGGAATAAATTAATTTCTTATGTTTTTGTTGATGGCTCAGTTGTTGAAAATCAAAGTGTAGTTCGTTTGTAATGAAGTCATATTATTGTTTTGGGGCTGTACATTTGTGTTAAGATAGTCAGGTAGTCTATTAGTTAGTCTTACAGTAAGTTTTTCTTCTACAAGCTTGTGCCAGATTTAACACTTCCATGTATACCCACCTTACTCAAAATAATATTTACCATCTGTGATTAGAACTACACCCTTTTTTATTCGAAATATCTTTGGGGACTGAAAGTGCAGAAAGGCTATTGTTCATGAGCAATCTGAAAAAGGATGAAATGTGAAAGAATGATTTTTCGGACACGGCACTCAGTGAGGGTTTAGTACATTCGATAATGTGGCATCATCAATTCATCATGCTGAATCAACTCCTTTTTAGTTATAGGTTGATAGGATGTTGATACCTAAACTGAACTTTACAATTCATTGTTGAGAGAGTTTACTTTTAATTCCTTTGGCTCACTGAATAACCATGTGGTCTTTATTCTTGTGTAGTGCTAAACTGCCAATGTTGCTGGGTGCTAATAGCAGTGGCAGTTATAAACTGCTTTGTAGATTGCTTTTCGGTTCAAGAAGCAAGTTAAACAGTTAGCTAGCAGAAACTTGAGTAAACTGGATGCATGCTGCCTAGCTTTTGAACAGCTTAACTAAAGTGTCCAGGAGAGACTCCAGGCTCAACAAGCTGTATGGTTGCCCAACATAGGGAATGTACCCTTTTCTGAGTTTGGAGCACAGCTCCCATACTGACCCGGTAACATTATAACAAGGGATGTGTTCTGTTAGCGGGAGATTGTGCTCGGCCGTTTATTGTCATATCAGCATAGAACAGAGATGAAAATTGCAAGAATTGCTGGTGAAATTAGGGATGATCAGTACAAAAAATATATATATAATTCTGCTATCTGAATTCTAACAAAATCCGTTGTAGTCTAGCTGGTTAGGATACTCGGCTCTCACCCGAGAGACCCGGGTTCGAGTCCCGGCATCGGAATTTTTTATTTTTGTGTATTCCTGTCTTGATTTATTTGATTCCTTTTAACTTTGATTGATTTATTTGATTACTTTCTTTTCCTTTCTCTATTTCGTCTTGATTTATTTGATTCCTTTTAACTTTGATTGATTGATTTGATTATTTTCCTCCGTTCAGTTCTGAATGGTCATGGGGTTTTTGACGTGTTTGATCCATCTAGTAGTAGTACTGATCTGGAAAAGTTCCTCCGTTCAGCTATGAATGGTCATGGCGCTTTTGATGTGTTTGATCCATCTAGTACTAGTTGCACTGATCTGGAAAAGCAGCTCGAGTGTATCGCAGCCAACCAATCCGTTCGAAAAAGAAGAATTAAAAAGGATGAGATGAGATTTCAAACGAATGAAAATGATGATGAAGGACACGAAAAACAAGAAAACTATTAACGGATGATTAGTTAAGTTTTAATTATTAAAAAAGGTAGATTTTTTTAATATTTTAGAGCAATTTTTACACTAATTTTTTTTACAAAGTATACTGTCTAGCCGTTTTAAAAATGTGCTAAAGAAAATTAAGGCATGTTAATGAAAAAAAGGGGTCATTTGAAATGTATGATCCCTTGCTTCCTCCCTTCCCCCTCCGTTTCTCCTTTCCCTCCTCCGCTCAAAAAGCGCGCGCCCCGCTGCCGCCTCCCACCCACCTCTTCTCCTTTCTCCTTCCACACCTCCCCACCCCATGCCGCGACTCGACTCGACTCGTCTCGACTCTCCAACGATGCGGTCGCGGCTATATACCTCAGGCTTCTTCGACTCCCCGACACGCCATTGCTTGCCGCCGCTTGCTGCTTTCCCGCAACTCGCGTCGCGTGCGTACTGCGTAGGATAGGAGGGAGAAGTGCAGAAGAGGAGGCGGCCGGTTGATTGATTTGATTTGATGGGCAACGTCGCGATCGGCGTGGGGCGGCGGAGGCGGCGCTGGCCGGAGGTGGAGGAGCGGCTCACGCAGCCGCGGAGGCTCCTCCGCCAGCTGTCCGACGTGGACTCCGGCCGGCTTCGGAGGCTCATCCGCTCCGGCGACCTCGCCCCGTGCTTTGATGCCGCCGAGGACGACGCTGGCCTCGACGAGGATTGCCCCATTTGCTTCTACGTGCGTGTATATTGCCTTCTGTTTCCCAGCTCTCTACATCTTTCTCTCTGGTTTGCGTGTTCTGAATTTCTGAGCACTTTGATCTGAATTCCTCTGGCTCTGCTTCCGGCGAGAGCTCTCTAGTCTCTGCCTCTCTCTGCCTCTGGGGTTTGTGTTCTGAATTTATGTTCATTCTGCTCTGAACTCTGATTTTTTTTTTTTTGTTCGTTTCGTTGCTCTCTTTGCAGTTCTATCCGAGCCTGAATCGATCCAAGTGTTGCGGCAAGGGGATCTGCACAGGTGAGTTCAAAGCCATCGCCGTGTAAAAATTTACGAAATTGTGTGCCCGAAAAACTGTAGTGCTATTACATTACACTCTCCAACTACTGCTTTGATCAGTAGCAATTGCGCCAACCGGCCAAGTTATGAGTACTGAGTTGCAGGCAATGACATCGGCAAAGGAAAACGGTAGGGAACTAGGGATTCATCATCAATTTTACAAGATACTAAGTAGGAATGAGCTATAAAGAGATTAGGGAGCCCGATCCATATAAGTAGAGATGGGTTAAGGATATTAGAGAGCGTGGTGGGAGGAGGTGATGGAAGAAGGACTACTCCGCTTTTGAGGTACTTCCCCCGTTTCACAATGTAAATCATTCTATCATTTTCTACATTTATATTGATGTTAATGAATCTAGATAAATATATATATGTCTAGATTCATTAACTTCAATATGAATGTGGGAAATGCTAGAATGACTTACATTGTTAAATGGAGGGAGTAGTAGAGAACCAGAGAATATGTTACATCTTGGGTTATGAACATATGTGTGGTTTCGTCTTTCGTGTTAGTTGTGTGATTTCAGCAACCGTTCTTAGTTCTTAGTACTACTACGTATTATTATTCTTTAGGCATGAACATTTCTTAATGCTAATGAAAGGCTAACTCTAATTGTATATAGAACTATTAAACAATTAGTCACGGTAGATTGCGGTTGCGCTATGCCTGATCATATCGTCTGTTCCTCAGTATCAATGATAACATTTTTTGATATTTTCAGTACCCTCTTGCTAAGGCCTAGTTTGGGAGCCCATATGCTATCCCAGTTCATTTCGGTGGGGATTGGGCCGCGATATGGGCTCTCAAACAGGCCCTTAATGTGCGTTTAAATCTTATTAAAGGTTCTTCCGTATAATGCTTGAAAAAGTACCTCATTAAATTGTGACATGTTTCCTTGTCCTGCAGAATGCTTCTTGCAACTGATTCCGTCCAAGTCTTCGAAAGTTGTCCAGTATCCTATTTTTATCTATCTATATGAATTGAGTATGTATTATGCAACTGTATATTGTAGTATGTGATAAATGAGCTTTTTTTTTTTTGAAAAACAAAAGCAGCAGAGCACTGGTATTTTTTGTTAATTAACTCAACACTTCAGAGAAGGTTAATATTCTTACTTTCATAATCCTAAGTATGAACAATCTTTACAAATGGGGGTATTGGAAATATACTTTAATAATTAGGATTATTTTAAAACAGAATTATTCCTATTTACCTAGAGTTACACTGATAAAACTGATTGCCAGCTACATCTTGCACCTGACAACTCCTTGGGGTCCTTATACTAGAAATGCAGCTGTCCTTTCTGCAAAACCGCATCCTACGCAGTTGAGTATCGAGGCAATCGAGCCAAAAGGGAGAAGAAACTGGATCAACAAGTAAAGTTTCTTCCCCATTCGCTAAATATTCTGATCCACCATGTCACAGCCTCTGTTTTATAGCATGTCTTTCCTGTGAAAAATAAATGCAGAAGGAACAGAACACCAGTGAGTCTAAGAAGAAAATACAGTCTAAGTCTCAGATTGCTGATGAACTTGTTCAACCTTAGCAGTTGCAAAACATATTTTTGACAGGGCTAACTTCTTACTAACCACTGGTAATTTGTCCTCAATACTGAATACTTTAATAATATGATGATTGCACGCATGTTATAATTATAACTGAAGTATGTGAACTTTTGACATATGCAGAAGGGAGTCTTTCAGCATTAGTCGTTTCAGAACCAATGTACATTGAAGCATAAATATTCGGCCAATGGCAGTAAAAGAATGAGGATTTGGTGCAGAATTGTACGATGATTCGCTAGCCGAATCTGAAGACAAAGATTAAGTTCCAAGTGTTTTAAGTCCTAAATTACATTCGTGGCTGTCAAGGGCTCCACGTAAGCATCCCATAAGGCAACCACAAGTGTTTCGTTTCAGTGCGGTGCACTTGACACACTGCAGGATCATGCCCTCTTTCTTCTTTTTTCATCTCTCTCTCTCTCTCTCATATAGCAATGGTTTTAAGCTTTGGAGGTGTGCATTTTTTGTACCATATTGGCAAGTCTAGAATGATACTGATACCCTAATACCAGTTGTATTCTTTAGTTAAACTTTTTTTTTTTGCTTTTTCATGAATTCTTCAGACATGATGTAAACTATGATGCACTTTTTGGAACAAATTTTCAAATATTCCCATCACAAACAAGCCAGTATACTGTGTTGAAATCCACTCTGCACAAAACCTTGCTATAAGCGAAAAGTTTTCTTGATCACAGTGTGCATTTGGCATTTGCTGTTAACTTACTGATTGGACAATATTGCAGAACGTCCACTCCGCATTGTCTGAATAACATTTCAGGAGACACACTGAGACAGACTACAAACTACCTGAAACATTCAAGGGAATTAACTAGAACTAGAATAGCTGAATTCGTGAATTCTTCATAAAGACTACAAAATTTCTGGCAATGTATTTTCATTAGGAAACGAAAAAACGATTAAGAGCGCAAATCAAACCCAATCTAGAACCTTCCATCAGGAACAGTAAACATAGATTGATCCAAATCTTTCATCAGTTGCTAAGACAAGACTAGCTGCCATTCTGCCAATGGTTAAGCTCCAAAGCATTAGGTTGCATCCACATGCACGCGTGCAGGAACCTAGTCACCAATAACACCACCTTTCACTGTAAGCATCATGTGCAGAGGCTACATCAGACGAAAATCTGTGGCTATATATACATGCACAAAATCACACTCTCCACACATCAAATCAGGAAGATCATAGCACAGTTGCACACAGTCTTGATCAGCAATGGCATCTCACAGAGCTGCTGTTTTTGCTGTTCTTACGCTGCTACTTTCAGTAGCTGCAATTGCAATGGCTAGGCCAATCAGAAGAAGCGATTTGGGCTTGGGCCTTGGCGCTAATGGTGGGCTAGGTGTAGGACTAGGACTTGATATCGGACTAGGTGGTTCCGGCTCGGCATCTAGTTCAGGCCAGGGCTCGGGTTATGGGGCCTGGTCTGGGCCAAACGGTGGTTCTTACACTGCGTCAGGTCATGGGTTGGGCTTGGGCTCCGGATATGGGTATGGATCAGGATCCGCGTATGGAGCTGGTAATGGGGGCTCTGCTTCGGGTTGTGGCTCTGGCTCAACATCTTGCTCGGGCTCAGGATCAGGTTCCGTAGGACTAGGGACATCGATTAACGTTGGTGTGGGTGTAGGAGCCAATGGTGGCACTAACGGCGGGTCAGATTGCGACACTGGCTCTGGGTCAAACTATGGCTCTAGCACAGGCTCAAGCTCTGGCTACGGGTCGGGTGGAGTTTCCTACCGCTCACGTGGTCATGGCGGGTCTTCTAGTATTGGGTCAGGTTCGGGGGTTGGTTTAGGAGCAACTTCTGGTGTTGGTGCCGGTTCTAATGTTGGGCCAAGTGGTGGTTGCTCGACTTGTGGTTCTGGTTCTAGGTCGGGATCAGGTGCGGGTGGGGGTTCATATTCTGGATCAAATAGCGGCTCGTCATCGAGTTCTGGCTCTGGTTCAAACTCAAATTCAATTGGAGGGTCAGGATCAAGTTCGGGTGCTGGCTCTGGCTCAAGTGCAAGCTCAGGTTATGGTGGCTCTAGTTCTGGTTCTATGTCAGGATCTGGTTCAAGTTCATCATCCGGTTCCACAGGGATGTCATATGGTTCATCAGGTCAATATTTATTCTTGTACAATCATGTTGCAGCAAGGTAGAATTTGCATGCCTTTCTTGCACTTAGACTAATTAAAATGTTCTCATTTTAGGTGCTGGCTCATTCAGTGGATCAAGCAGCGGTTCAAACTCTAATGCCGGCTCCATGTCAGGTGCAAACTCAGGAGCCGGTTCAAGCTCTAGTGCATATGGTGCATCAGGCAGTGGATCAAACTCCATGTCGGATTCAGGGTCAAGCTCAGGTTCATCCAAACTATCCAATATATGGTTATACATTTAGGCACAGTTTCTTTTTCTTTTGTAAGGTTTATAGATTATCACGGACATGTTTCCCAAGCTTTTAAATGCTGCATTTTTTTAAAAAAAACTATATATAAGTTTTTTAGAATTAATTTTGAAACAACTTTTAAATTTCTAATTTCATTCGTTTGTACCCTCATATATTATCATAAAACCAGTTAATATAATCCATTATCCATTCATCCATCCAGCTCAAAAGAACTGAGCGTGACAAATATATGTATCGCTAACAGCCGCTAAGTTGTGTCTCTAAATACAAAACAATCATACTTAATATGCACTGAATGGTAGCTATTTATCTTGCTGCAGGATCGGTTAGTGCTTCCGGAAGTGGGTCGTCCAACTCTGGTGCAGGTTCAGGTTCCAGCTCTTCTTCATGGTCCGGTTCTAATTCTGGCTCTGGCACAATGTCGGGAATTGACGCTCCGTCAAGTACAGGAACATCGTCTACTGCTGAATCAAACTCTGGATCCGCCACCTCTGTCACCGGTGCAAACTCAGGCTCATATTCAAGCGCATGGTCCAACTCCAACTCCAACTCCGGCTCGACTATGCCATCTGGTATAGGGGTTGCTTCTAATGCTGGCTCTAGCTCAGGTTCTTGGTCTAATGCTGGCTCAAACACTGGCACACTCTCTGGGGCTGGATCCTCTAACTGGTCAAGCTCGACGTCCGGGTCTACCTCAAGCTCAGGTTTAGGTGGTGGGCAAGGGGTTGGAAGCAGATTCGGTTCCGGAGCCCAACCGACTTTTGGTATGGGTGGAGGAGGTGGGTTTGGAGCGGGTTACGGATTTGGAGCCGGAGCCGGAGGTTGGGGTAAGCACCATTAAGATAAGGTGTTGGGCAGATTCTTATATAAAAAAGAAGGGGGTGAGAATTTTGGATCCCCTTGCTCTCATGGTTGATTTACATGTTGTATTGAGTTCCCTGGGAATAAGCGATCATCAGTTTTCAGTACGCTCAGTTCCTCTTGTACACTAGCAGTAGCTGCTCTTTGTTTCCAACAAAATGCTTGAATCGTTGTGGTCATCGTGACGCATCAGTACGTACTTCTTCATATGTACCGGCAGATGCTATCTTGGAATGAAATCATGAAATCTTTGTGACCATTTTACTTCTGGGGGATGATGTCCAGTTCCTCGCAACAAATACAGACGTTGCTTGAACGTGCGTGCAACACAACCCACCACGCACGATTCCCATCACTACGATTAACCCCGACACGTGACACACACACACACACACCAACCCATCACACTTTGCTTGTACTTTGGACGAAAAAAGAAAAGGAGAGGAGAAAACCCAACCAAAAAGCACCCAAACCTACCTGCATTTTGGGGCACCGGCGCCGCACGCGCGCGCACCCTGCCGATCCACCGAAGACAGCACAGAGGCACGCAAGCACCGCACCGCACCGTCCCCCTGATCACCCCTCCCCCTCCCGCAACGTGAAAATGCCGGAAAAACCCGCGCTTCTCCCGTGATCCCGAGTACCCGCGCTCGCCGATGCTTTTCCACCGATCCGGGGGACGACGACGCGCGCCCGGCATGGCGCTGGCTGGATACCCACGCGAGCACTCCGCCGCACTACGGCGGGGGCATGGGCACTACACGCGGATCGGACCACCAGGCGCGGGTGCGCGGCACGGGGGGCATGCGACACATCCGCGCGCGCGCGCGATCATCCTGCACTAGTTGTTGCTGCTGCGGTCACGTACGTACCGACGACGTAGTACGACGTACGTGCCGTGTCGGCTCACGCGGCAAACTGGACGACGGGACACGGGAAGTATACATAGCTAAGCTGGCGGCATGCTGCGTGCAGCCGGAATGAAAACCGGAACCCCATGCTGCGTGCGAACCGGTGGTGTGCATGCTGGTCGCACTGAGATGACAGGTGCGCGCGTAATCTCTGTTAATTCGTCCCTCGATTTGGACAGCATATATATATGGATAGGGCGATGGGCTGATCCTGACCTTCGTACCTATATTTAATTTCTGTCCATATATTTATCTCACTAAAATAAGTAAATTATTATTTGTGGAGTACAACAGATTGACAGAATAATATTTATCCCATTAAGATAAGTAGATTATTCCATACATGTACAGTATAACAGAAGTGATAAGCGGCAGATACATCACCTATTAATACGAGCACTTGTATTAAGCTTACAATTTCTCTAGTTGGATAGGTTTCAACAAAAAAAAAAATCTAAGAGCAATCTTCGCTTCGCTCCACATGAAACTTAAAGGTTGTATACTTGTAATTTTTTATGAGGGTTTTTACCGTCCAGCGGATAGGGGTGGTACCGGGCGGTACCAATTTCTGGCCGTTGGATCCTGGCCGATCTAACGGCTAGGATTTGTCGGGACCGGCTGGTACCAATTCACCCCATAAGTTAGTACCGCACAGTGAAGAGGGGCGGAGGGGTAATAGTGTAATTTCGCGTGGCATGGACGGATGAGGCGGGCAATTCATCGACATCGTTTCCTGGAGGAGGTCCCGAATCAGTCGGCGGTGGCGGAGTCGATCCAGACGGCGGAGAAGGCTTCAACGGCGATGGTGGAGTCGAGGGCGACGGTGGAGTGGCTCCCTGGTGGCGGATTTGTTCCCCCCGCAACGAGGGCGGCGGAGTGGGAGTGGTGTCGTCGATCCCGTCGATCCCGACGGCGGCGGTGCGGCCAAGGAGGTGTGGCCACACGGCGGCGGCGGAGTGGAGTGGCGACCATGGAGATGGAGCTGGTCTCACACCCACCTTGACCACCGCGATTCGCCGGCGCTGGAAAAGGATGGAAAACGAGCGAGATGAGGGCGACGGCAGATGACCATGACAAGCTCTTCTCTCTCTCAAACAAAATCTGATTCCTATCGTAACCCCAGTGTATTCAACGGCTAGATTTCAACAGGTACTGCCCGATACCTGTACCGGCCGGTACATTCCGTTGGACAGAAGCAAAACTCTTTTTTTATACTAGCATATTTGTAAATTCTTTTTTTAAACAAGTATATACTTGTAATTTTGAAAGCACTTTACATAACAAAGTGTTACTCCCTACTTCTGGAGGAGCTTGATCGAGGAGGGCTCATTTATGAATTTTATGAGCCAGGCAACTACCTCGAATTTACTTGTCCTTTATCACCAGCGGCGCCAAGTTAATGTCTGAGATAGATTCACATCAACTGATCAACAGATAAATTGACATGAGCCCAGTCGGTCATGAGCTCACCATGGGGTACCTATCCTCCTCCGGACCCTCCCTGTCTTCATGCATTGTCTTCACGCATGCAATGCACTGCACATGGATGGTTATGCAACAGCGAGCCGATCTCAATGTGTACAGTAAGCAGAGTAAAGTAATGTTTCCTCTGCCCAACCATTCATTATAGCCTGAGCCCCATAGTCCCATACTGTACTAGTCAACTAATAGTGCATATATACTGAAGTACATTCAACGCAGGAAGTGCAACACCTATGCACATGTGAACCGATCGGGCTGAAATGAAAGCCGTAGCACCATTTTGCTTTCGCCCGTTAAACTGATCGGTACGTACGCAAAAAAAAAGATACATTTCATCAAGTAATCCGTGGCAGAGCTAGCAATGTCGTTGAGCCCGAACGGCGAAGATACCATGCCAGAACCACTCACCTCTGACGATCCACCATTACTCGTCACGGATTGAAGTTATAAGATCAATAATCTTTAACAGGATCAAACCGGTTAAGACCTTGTTCGATTAATCCCTATGTGGAAGAGATTGGATGGAATTTATTCCACAGTTATTATAGTGTGGAATTATTCTGCCTCAATCTCTTCCAATCCTGTTCGATCCTCTCTAACCGAACAAAGCCTAACAGGGTTTGAGTCCGTCTTACGTGAACCGATCTGACGTAGTGAGAGAGCTGTCGTTGATCATCGACATAGCGGAGGCCGGCGGTGACTGAAGTGGGGTTGGGTTGACCGGGCGGGCGGGTGGCTGCTGGCTGCTCAAGTCGTTGGGAGATTGGCAGGTGAGGCGATCGATCGATCGAGCATGGACTCATTCCCGGGCTGCGGCCATGAGCGAATTCAAGTCGGTCGCACGCGTGCGCTCTGCTCTTTGCGGCGACTGACCCGCGGTTTCGCCCGCTGGTTTCCCCACCGTACACAGTAGTAGTATATTCCGTTCTATAGACTGTTTGGCACCACACGTTTCTCTACGTGAGGTTTCCTGTTGTGTACTACTACTGTACTATATCTTGTACTAGGCCCGTGGTGATTGGATCATGCATATGATTGGCACATCTAATAGAAAATCCTTTGAAGTGTTATAGGAAAAAGAAAAAGAAAATATAATCTACTGTACTTAGGAACATTTTAATGTAATCATTTCAGGTACTGCATGTCTGCATGTGTCGAAACGGATGGCCAGAAACATTATTTTTAAGCTATACTTCCTCTGTCCCATATAAATTGCAATTTTGGCTCTCAGGCTTTGTCGCATAAATACTGTAATTCTAATCACGTGGGACCCAACAAATTGATTAATCTAAATATGTTTCCTTATGGTCTCCCAGCCTTCCATCCCGCAATCTTCCTTTTAATCTAAAATTGTTTTCTTAATTGTCTCAAACTTCTTTTTAATCAATTATATATATGGAATGTGTGCATCTATTGTGTTCATTAAATAAGGTCATTGTGGTCATTTTTCAATCCTACTATTTTGTCCTAAATTAGCTAGAAGTGCAATTTATATGGGACGGAGGTAGTAATTTATTTATTTTCATCACATATATATATACACACACCTCATCAATCTGAACTTAGACATCCATATTAAGATATTCTAACCTCGATACAAAACAGAGTAAAATAGACGAATGAAACCATCCTCTATTTCGTTTTAGCTCCACCCTAGATGTAATATATCTTGATCGGTTCGCGTTCAAAGTATTCAATTTTGTTTATGATGAATGGATTAATGGAGTAATGGAACCGCTTCCCGAGCCTTTTACATGGTGCGATTTTTTTTAAACATAAGCTTTATATATATATATATATATATATATATATATATATATATATATATATATATATATATATATGAATTTATTGTAATATTGTTTCAAACTCACTTTTAGTTCTATAATATTTAATTCGTTTATTTTCACCCATAAATAATTATTATGAATATTTCAACCATTCAACCATTCCACAAAATAACACACTGATGTTTTTTCATAGGAAAAATTGCAAAAAAAAAACATCCTAGATGTCACGGTGAGTTTGAGATCCCCCTAAAAGACGATTCGTTGCAAATACCCTCTTTCTAATTCACATTAGTTTAATATTCCTCCTAAATTACCATTGTTCATGTAGTTTTTTCCTCTTCCTCAATTATTGTTACTCATCCATTCTCATGGCCATTAACTACATACGCGCTCATATTGATACTAATAGACGAGGACCCGTGGTCATCACTCATGTCGACCAGACGCGATGACATGACCATGGCATCCCCACTCATGGCGGCCTACCAAGAAGCATATCGTTAGTGGCGGTGATCACGAGTCTTCGCTCTTAGACATAAGGGTCGCCGAAGATAAGCTGATGCGTTTGCCTCATAGGGTTTAGCGGCGTCTGATTTCTTTGGCACATTCAAGATAAGAAATACGATCATAATGCTTTGTCATTAGAATGGACAATTAACAAATAATTAGGGAAGAGGGAAGAAACATGTGAATTGAGGAGGAATATCACACTAATGTGAATTAGGAGAGGGTATGTGCAACTGAATCGTCTTATAAGAAGAAATCAGAATGACATATGGGATGTGTTCTACAATTTTTCGTTTTTCATATAAAAAAGGGGTCGGAGCTAGGAAGTAGTTTCATCGGCGATATTTGATTCCTCTTCTACCTCCTGAGACACACTGCTCACAACTCACAAGGTCTGCGAATGCGATGTGCACGTAATTAATGGTCAGAGATGGCCGTAACACACATCGCTCTGCAATCTGCATTACTCCGTGCGTTGAATAAAGGGTGTGTTTAGTTCACGCTAAAATTAGAAGTTTAATTGAAACTGGAACGATGTGATAGAAAAGTTAGAAGTTTAGCCCTGTTTA